CCAGAGTCCAAAAAGAGATGTCAAGCCACACCATACCTCCACTCGATTGTCAAGAGGCAACCATGACTGGCAATGCTCGCTCCAGACAATAACTGAAGCTACTGGCCACCCATCATTCCAAATTTTACAAACCACATAACCAAACAAGAATTTGAAGAGTACTATGACCTTCTCTGATTCCAAATGATCAAATCAACAATTGTTGCATAATTCAATTGTGAACATTGTCATCAGACCCAAAACACTATTGCTATGTTTGCAAAATTTCAATTTTTTTTCATCAGACTATGTTTGTGATCTAAGGTTGTCCCAAATTACTATATTATGGATAATGATATTATATATGAAGTGTGGTAAATTCAAGTTAATTCGCATTAAAACTTTTGTCCACCGTTGTAGATATTATTAATTCAAAATAGAGATCCAGAAAATGAAAAAAATACAAGCTAATGAATCTATGTATTGATAAGACAATAAACGACATACCAAGTGATGCAAAAAATGCAAACTGATCCAAGACATTAGTAATCCGGCCAACGGCCGGGCAAAAAGCTAGTGTTAATTATAAATATCGTAGTGTCTAGTCCTTGTTAAGAGACTCATAAAAATATCAACAAAATTGTAACCCAAATAATCAAACTATTGAATTTAGTGTTTGCCAAAACGTACCATACTACTCTTGGGGAAAAAAATTGTAATAGAGCTCAAACCCATATAATATTTATCATTATGTAACCATTAAATCACAATTAAATCATAATTTAAGCATAAAATATCTTACCACTTCTACCAAAAAAATATATTATCACATAATTACACAAAGTACAACTCTTTTGATATGATTTTACTATTCCTCATTGAATTCACTTAATAAAAAACACGTAGGTACCCTCACGATAGATGGGACCTTGCAGACGATTTTAATTTTAATTTTAAGATGCAATGCAAATGACAAAATATACAAAATATTTAGAACTACATGGATCTCTTAAAAAAACACACTTTTTTTTACCAAACTAGGGAAAAAAATATCAAGTTCAAATGAGACCGCGGTACAACAAAAATCATACTCAAAATAATTTTGAAAAACATGTAGTCTTCTTTCCTGTGACATGAGCTTATGGGCCTTCTCCAATATGCAAAGTGTGTCCATTGGATTGGCAAGTAGACATGAGCATCGCCCACTGACCACTACTACCTTTTCATATCGAGAAATTAAAGAAGGTGAAGTATAGCATGACAAGAAGAGAAGCAATCAGTACACAGGACGATAGCCCATTGTCCACTGACCACTACTACTTCTTTCAGTTCGAGTTAGTAATACTTGTCACAAGCCTAGTGGGACATTGGAAAGGGGGCAAAAAATTCCACTGACCACTACTTCTTCTTTCGTTTCGAGTTAGTCATACTTGTCACAAGCCTAGTGGAATAAGGGAAAAAGAAGAAGATAAAACATATGGCTTCGCCCGGGTTCGAACCGGAGACCTTCAGTGTGTTAGACTGACGTGATAACCAACTACACCACGAAACCATTGATGTTTTAGTCATTGAAATAACATTGTTATAAATGCTTCAAGAAGCATGCAAGGTAACAGGTTATGGGAAAATGAATTGAGTTAACACTGAACAAGCAATGAAAATTTCAAAATCTTTTCAACAATCAGAAAAATTAGAATAAGCAATTTGTTTAGAATTCAAAGATTTAGATTCCAATTCTCCAAATGATCGCAAGAGAGAGTTTTATAAATTGATTTAGGTTAACTATATACAATACAAACCATAGTTATAGAGCACTTATATTATGCTATATAGCATGTGTGATTTAATGTACAACTTGAAGTTGTACCATAATATTAAATGCATAAGTTTAGGTTGTACCACAAACGAATTTGTACCATTATGTTATGGTAAAACTTTACAACTTCAAGTTGTACCATCACATAAAGGTACAAGTTTGTATCATAAAAGAATTTGTACAAAACGTATAGATACAATCTGAAGTTGTACCATAACATTAAATGTACAATTTCAAATTGTATCATACAGGCAAAAACCTATAGCACCAATGTTATATAACATTGTAAAATTCCTCGTAGTTATAAATATCAAGGCCTTTCTTCGATCTCCATGTGATCGCCGACGCCTTGTACTGCCAAGACTGGAGCGTCGGGTGCGACGCGGCGAGTTCAGTTGACTTGGAAAAGGTAAAAGTTACATTGTAACTATAAGCTAATTGAGATCTATTAATATTATCACTAAAACTCATTCGAGCAATGTGAAAATGAAATTGATCATACACGTTTAGTTGACTTAGAAAGAAAAAAAAATTAGAACTATGGCTTCGTCGGGGTTTGAACCGGAGACTTTCAGTGTGTTTGACTTATCACTAAAACTCAATCAGGCAATGCGAAAATGAAAAACGAAAACGATCATGCAAGTTTAGTTGACTTAAAAAAAAGTGTCAAGTATGGCTTCGTCCAGATTTGAACTGGAGACCTTCAGTGTGTTAGACTGACGTGATAACCAACTACACCACAAAACCATTCATATTCGAATTTGAAATTAATCAGTATAAAACGGAGAGAAAACAGGACGACAACAAAAAACAAGATAATTGAGGAAACAAAGAAAACAATCAACACAAAATAGGGCACTTTCCAACATAGTGGAGGAATTGGTTTCTGTTCAATTGTTTACCAACTTGTCAAATAATCTATCTATCTATCTATCCCTATATAATATATAGCCATTCTTCAAAAGATTTTGAGCATTTCAAATTCCTTGCATTCTCCTTAATTGTAGCTAGGGGTAAATTTGTAAGTTCAACTTAGAGCTTAAATATCTTATTACGAGAAAAAAATGTCATTACAAAGACTTGAACTCAAGTCCTTTAGATTGATAGTCAATATCCCTAACCAACTGGACTACAACAATATTTATGTGTTTTTTGAATTAAAGAAACAAAATACTGAAATATATTAAAATCATAGGACTATCCACCTCAACAATTAATCATCGAATGAATTAATAACTGTAATTATTTACAAAGTGAATCATCATGATATACCTAGCTTTATGAATCAACTAAGTGAGTTCCTCTGATCACACAATTCTTCACCAAGAATTAAATAGTACATTTTGAGTTTATGTAGGTTACATGACTTTGTAGTTTGTAGGAATACAAGGATTGTTTACAAAAGCGCTATACAAGGAGGAGAAGAGCATATTGATGGAATTGAAGATGAGTGTTGGTTTTACGAGGTTATTAAAACTGCCCCGAGGAGGATGAGTTGGCCAAATACAAGAAAGAGGATTGAGGATTTGGAGATCAAGCTGACAAAAAACTCAATTGAAAGAGAAATTCAGGTTCATGGAGAGAAGGTCCATCAAAGTAGCATAAATGGAGTTGCAGAAGGAGGATTAGAAATTGAATTTTGTTTTAAAACATATACGTCGAGAGATTGAAGATGGAGGAGATAAAAAGTTGGTTGTACAACGGAGAGTGGAAACTATTGGATCTTTAGGTGTTATGGTTGTTGCAACTACCACAACCTATGTTTATGTTAAAACGATGAATCATTGATTGAATTACTAAAGTCAAGGTCGATTCACTATTTAAACTACTGGAACATGTACATAAGGAGTGTCTAATTTTGTGTCTCACTACTTTGATCGAGTCTATTTGTATATTGGATGTAACTCTAATTTTGTCATTTGCTCTCAAGTTTTTATGGTTTCTTTTTAGTTGAGTTGTTAGCATATGATTTACTTGAATCAACAACTCTTCATTTTTGTTTTTTTATACATCCATTTCTTTTTATTAGTGGCATGTTATTCATAGAGGAGAGCTTTGAACCATTTATGTGGGATTGTGAGGTTTCATTTCAGTTTCAAACTATTTATGGATCGTGTGGCAATTCCAATGAGCTTTTATATTATATATTTTTAGACAATCTATTAACCAATATCATTTTAATGGGGGCTCAATTATCATTATGAAAATGGGATTAATGATATATTTTTATATCATTAAATGAGGAGGGTATTTCCCTGAATGTTCGACCTATATATTCATTTTTTATGTAGCATCTCGATTGAATGATTTTCAATAAACTTAAACGAATTAATAGATTTAAGCATAACATAAAAATATAAATATTAAAATATGAACATTACGGCCAGCAGGGTTATAAACTAGTAAAATATATAAAGCTCTTTTTAAAAAGCACCTCCTCCACCTCAGTTTTCCTGTGCTCCCCGTGATTCTCGATAAATAATTTTTACTTTTCATCCGAACCGTTTTTCTCCAGTGGGATTTATCCTCTGTTTTATAAATCAAAATCAAAACCTTTTCACCCCCAACCTCTCCCCTTTATTTTATGTATTTTTAGAGGAATATATCAATTTTTAGATTGAATATTTAGTAATTTTCATGCAAACTGATCCCTCAACCATAAATATGCGTTTCCCAAATTCTTTTGTCTATGTGAGTGATACTTGGAAAATATTATAATATAGTAATGTCTACAATTAAATTATAATAAGTATTAAAAATAGTAAACTATATTTCATTATATAAATATTTGGATATTATAAATAGACGTGTCTACAATACAATTATGAATTTTCGATTCATACAAAATTTCAAGAATTTCGAAAGATTGTAAAATTTAGTAGCGAAAATAGTTTCTCGAATGATTATAAAAAGTCATCAACCTCCACATCATGAGTAACATTTTGAGAATTAAATCATTGTCAGTGAGTATGGTAAATATTGCAAATTTTATATACATTATACTCACCTATGAATGAAGAATTTGATAAGAACACAAACACAAGTACGAGAGAACGCGAGGCACCGGATTTACGTGGTTTCCTTGACAGGTATTGTCAAGACTAGTCCACGGTACAAGGCAGAGTTCAATCTTATTTACGTTCACGTTACCTAGGTCGGCCATCAACATGAACTATATATACTTGGCCGACCCGCAACCCTAACTCCTTACACGACAATGTTATGTACATTTACAAAATAGTACCTACACTTCTAACACCCTCCCTCAAATTGATGATGTTGTCGCAACATTAATTTGTGTGCTAGAAACCAATGTCGTGTAGTAGATACTGCTTTTGTCAAGAGGTCAGCTGCCTGGTCTTCAGAAGTAATATAGTTGAGCTCCACAGACCCTTCGACTACAAGCTGACGAACATAATGTATGTGTACCTCAATGTGCTTCGTCCTGTCGTGTAACACGGGATTGGTTGCAATCCGAATTGCACTCGTATTATCAACATATAGTCGCGTAGGGACCTGCCAAGGGAATCCAAATTCTGCTAACAGCCGCCTCAACCACACAATCTCTGACGTAACTTCACTCATGGACCGATACTCAGCTTTGTTGGAAGAACTTCGCTGGGAGCTTTTGTTTTTTTCACTTGGAAGAACTTCCTAATACGATTTTCACTTCAATAACGTATCTTTTATTTCTCTCCATTTTTCACATTTTTAGATGACTTATTGCTATACGAAGCGTATAACGTAACCCCCACATGTCTTCATTACAACGTGCTTTTGTTCTAATTCGTGCCTTTCAGTTCCATAGTATAACACTGCTACCCATATATCATAACAAAAACAAGTTAATTTATCGTCAAATTGACTACTGATGAACCAACGTGCACGTGCACTGATTTCTCTTTTCAATTTCGAGATTTGACCTGCAAGTTCTTGGTATACTTATATCTCTATCACACAAAAACCCCCCATAATATCTTCACCCACCTTATGCTAAGAAAAATTCTGCATCGAAAATTGCATGATGAAGGTCCAAATCTAGAAATTAGAAGCTTAACTTATTAATAAAAAAAAATTAATTATCTTGACGTCCCTTTCCTCCTTAATTAGATAGTTCCTATTAAAGTGTGTTTATGACTATATGCCGCTCCAAATCATCAACCAATTAAGGCATATATTAATCATTAACTATTGAAGTGCTTGCTTCCCCATCTGTGTACGATCTGAATTAGGGGAGCAAAATATTTTTCTATATAAATCTTGTACCCTATGCCTAATGCCTTAATTGGTCACGAATAATCTCAACTTCCATAACTAAACAGTACTTAAAACTTCCTTAAATGCACTAATTAGCTTCTCTGCAACTTCAACGACAATAATGGATGAATCGATCGCCTCCTTCCTTTTCTGCTCCACAGTTCCATCACTATATAAACCTAGTCACCCAATAGCAACAAGCAACCGTCGAGAAACGAAGACGCGAAGAGATAGATTTTTTTTCCCTGTCATCCCGTCGCTAAAGATGACGCAGTACTGCAACCACTGCTGCAAATACCAGTCCGTTGTCAAGAAGGGCAACAAGGCGTGAGTATACACATATAGTGACGGGTCATATGCTTTTTAGTGACGAGTTTTGGAGTATTACTTAAACCAATATTTTCGCCTTTTGATTTTTTTTTTGCATGCATGCAGGCACTGCGGGGTGTGCGACAAGGTGCTGGGTACGTTCGGCAACGTCGAGATGGACGACGGCGGCGAGCATCGGTCTTCTTCTTCTTCTTCGTCGCCGTCGGTGTCCGTGGCGGCGGACAAGAGTGATCATAATGGCCGTGCTTGTTTCGGCGAAGACGAGACTGCCGGAACGTCGTCGGTTTGATTGATCGAGAGGAGGATATTATTTTGAGAATGAAAGCTTCATGTAGCGAGATTTTTATTTTTTTTGGTTTTCTGTTTTGTTTTTCAGTTTCATCGTAGTGCTAGCTTGCTAGTATAAGTAGGTTAGTCGATTTTTGGTCTTTTCGGGGAGAGATTTTGTTCCAATTATGAGTTGATTTTTCGGCTTCTTAGTTGTTATCGTTGATTTAAATTATTAAAAAGATATATCACGATATGGAATTCAAATATGTTAATTATAAATATCGTAGTGTCTAGTCCCTGTTAAGAGGCTCATAAAAATATCAACAAAATTGTAACCCATATAATCAAACTATTGAATTTAGAGTTTGCCAAACCGTACCATACTACTCTTGGGAAAAAAAGTTGTATTAGAGCTCAAACCCATATAATATTTATCATTATGTAAAATCACAATTAAATCATAATTTAAGCATAAAATATCTTATCACTTCTACCCAAAAAAATATATATTATCACATAATTATATAAAGTACAACTCTTTTGATATGATTTTACTATTCCTCATTGAATTCACTTAATAAAAAACACGTAGGTACCCTCACGATAGATGGGACCTTGCAGACGATTTTAATTTTAAGATGCAATGCAAATGAAAAAATATACAAAATATTTAGAACTAGATCGATCTCTTAAAAAAACACACTTTTTTTTTTACCAAACTGGGGGAAAAAATATCAATGTTCAAATCAGCCCGGGGTCAACAAAAATCATACTCAAAATAATTTTGAAAAACATGCAGTCTTCTTTCCTGTGACATGAGCTTATGGGCCCTCTCCAATATGCAAAGTGCGTCCATTGGATTGGCAAGTAGACATGACGATCGCCCACTGACCATTACTACCTTTTCATGACAAGAAGAGAAGCAAGTACACAGGACGATAGCCCACTATCCACTGACCACTACTTCTTTCAGTTCGAGTTAGCCATACTTGTCACAAGCCTAGTGGGACATTGGAAAGGGGGCAAAAAAGTCCATTGACCACTACTTCTTCTTTCGTTTCGAGTTAGTCATACTTGTCACAAGATCCATTGGATTGGCAAGTAGACATGACGACCAGCCCACTGACCACTACTACCTTTTCATATCGAGAAATTAAAGAAGGTGAAGTATAGCATGACAAGAAGAGAAGCAATTAGTACACAGGATGATAGCGCCCACTGTCCACTGACCACTACTACTTCTTTCAGTTCGAGTTAGTCATACTTGTCACAAGCCTAGTGGGACGCTAGAAGCGGAAAAAAAGAAGATAAAACATAAAACATATGGCTTCGCCCGGGTTCGAATCGGAGACCTTCAATGTGTTAGACTGACGTGATAACCAACTACACCACGAAACCATTGATGTTTTAGTCCTTGAAATAACATTGTTATAAATGCTTCAAGAAGCATGCAAGGTAACAGGTTATGGGAAAATGAATTGAGTTAACACTGAACAAGCAATGAAAATTTCAAAATCTTTTCAACAATCAAAAAAATTAGAATCACCAATTTGTTTAGAATTCAAAGATTTAGATTCCAATTCTCCAAACCATCGCAAGAGAGAGTTTTATAAATTGATTTAGGTTAACTAGATACAATACAAACCGTAGTTATAGAGCACTTCTATTATGCTATATGCATGTGTGATTTAATGTACAACTTGAAGTTGTACCATAATATTAAATGCATAAGTTTAGGTTGTACCACAAACGAATTTGTACCATTATGTTATGGTAAAACTTTACAACTTCAAGTTGTACCATCACATAAAGGTACAAGTTTGTATCATAAAAGAATTTGTACAAAACCTATAGATACAATCTGAAGTTGTACCATAACATTAAATGTACAATTTCAAATTGTATCATAAAGGCAAAAACCTGTAGCACCAATGTTATATAGCATTGTAAAAATTCCTAGTAGTTATAAATATCCAGGCCATTGAAAACGACCCAACAAAACACTTCCTTTGTCGTTGTATTCCAAAAGACGTGTGTAATTTAATCATCTAATAAACAAAAAACATAATTTCATCATGATGAATGTAGTAACCTTTGGAAGAGCTTAATTAGCATCAAATTGAGGTCATAATAATCCAAACAGAAGATGGCTAGCTAGTCGAGTTGCATCGAATTCTATCTCATTGACAAACTTTTAAAGAAGGCTATATATACATACCATGATAAAATCATGATCGAATTGGGATCGGACCGGGTCAAGACCGGATCAGATCAAACCCGGATTGTTATCCAATCCAATCCAGTCTTTGGTCCTTATATTTTCAAAAAGACCGAACTGAACCGGATCAATTTGGGCCAATTTAATCGGAACGAACTGTATAGCCACACCTACTAGCTAGGTCGTACAAGAAGCAGCAATTACATAATTTGTCTTTCCATTTGAGCTCGTCTATTTGTTTACTTAATGAAACTATTTTTAAAAAAATGCCAATTTCGAATTGAGATCATATAAGTCAAATATTGAGTTATAAACTATAGCATCAAGGAAAACTCAAAGATGGGGATTTCAAACTCCCATACCATCTCAATCATAGCAAGCTCATCAAGTTAGTGAGATCGATGGATTTGCTTTTTTGGATAGAGAGTATATGGCCACTAGTGGGGTGCGATTTGCGGTATTGGATAGCATCATTGAGATCATATAAGATACAATAAAATCATGTTGAAATTCAACTGAATTTACTACTACTACATACTATGGGGAAGTTTTCATAGCCCAACTACTAAGAACAAGGGTGAAAAATATCACCTTTTATGACGAGTGATTCGACAGATATGATTTATTACTTTTCGTGTATGAACATTTCGCAAATTCGTAATAGCCTACGATTCAAATATTCAATTTCATTAGCGTATGTCAAACGACTTTTTCTTCTTCGTAATGATAGGGTGTGTCGAGAATTGAAATTTACCAGCACGCTTGCATGTCAATCCGTGCATATGATTGACGGTGATTACCGATCCATACTGTGTCGTGACAACCACACGATTTAAACAATTTTTTTATGCCAATTTTTAGATGTTTGCATCATATAAATAGTGATCAAATGAGCCTTTAGTTATAGAACCATAGCAAAGTGGGGGGAAAAAATAAAAGAAAAGAAACAGAAAAAAGAAACGAAAGAAAGGATATGATGAGGTCATCCCTAGCAGTGGCGGTCCTGTTAGTAGCCGTCGTATTTTTAGCGACCACCACCACCGTCGTCGTCGGCGACGTCGCCCTAAACTGCACGCGGTCCGGCGAATGGAGCGGCGTCGAACCGGCGACGGCGACGGGGCTGAAAGAGGCACTCGTCGATGATTTGATCGCACAAACGCCCGAGGACCCGAACAACATGTACTACTGCAACTTCGACACGTGGCGCGGATTGACGATGTGGGGATACGCCGAATGCGCTGACGTGTCCAGATGTCCGACGTCTCTATCCCACGTGGGCTCCGGCCTGAAGGAACTTCCGTGCGCCAAGGGAGAAGGTACTGCTAGGGATTCCGACGACGTTTGTTACGCCAAGGTTGGATTCTCCCAGTTTAGCGTCTGTCCTAGAGTTCGAATTGCTGATTAATTTGCGTCACCGGCGGCCATGACCTAGAACACGTACGGTCATTGGACACGGTGTACGCCCGATGCACACGTGGTGCTGTTTCGAAGGGAAAAGTTTTGATTGTTGTGGTTGTTGATGTCGCGGGTGTTCGATTCGCGTTACAACGCCATATCATCGCGTATGGTCAAGAGAAAATCCCTTTTACGATCGTACTATTTCGTTCTTGCAAAAACTTTGATTTTCATTCATGGTTATTTTCGTGCGAGACAAGAGCCCTTTTCTCTATACTATACATAAAAACAACAACCCCAACCAAGAACCCATGAAAACACTACTACAATTGGATTGGAGTTCGTCTTACCTCGACTCGGACTGTTTTCAACTTATAACATGTATTATTCAGTTTTCTGTTGTGAATATGCGTCGTCACGTATATGAGAACACAATCATAACAACTCGATAGAATCGTCGCGACTTCTCAGCATTACACGAAAATTTTACATTTGGCGACCACAAAAAAGTGGTCGCAAAATCCAGGAAAATGGTCGTCATCACAAGTTTCAGAACCAAGAGAGGAATATAAACCACCGGCGGGTATGTGGCGTTGTATTTAGTTCCAAAACAGAGAGATATAACCAAAGATTAACTATGTTATCTAATTATCATCGACTAATCACATAAATTTTTTTTATCATGATGAATGGCCAATTAATTAGCACATAGTAAGCTCCAATTTGTGCCCAACTTGATAGCATCAAACTGACATCACGTAAGTCAAATGGAATGGCTTCGAGTTAAGTGTATTGAAATCATCTAAGTTCAAGAACAAGAAATTCAAGGGACCAACATTATATATTACGTAACCCTTCATATTACCTCCTAATCATTAAGCAAAGAAATTCAAGGGGAAAGGCTAAAAAATACCCATAAAAACAGAAAACTCGTCACTATATCATCAGCCATGGCGCCGACGGCAATAGTGTCCATCTTTCTTCTGCTGATGATCGCCTCCGCCGAAGTCCTCGTAGCCGCCGAAGTCGTTGATTACACCTGGAACTGCTACAGCGGAGTCGACGGGCGGGGGTCGATGCAGGGAATTATCGATGATTTGGTCGCTACAGTGCCGGGTAGACAAGGGCAGACCTATTGCGACGAGGTGGTTTCGTCGCAAATGTTCGGGTTTGCGTACTGTTTGGTTGCAGATGGTAGCGTGTCAGCGTGTCGCGATTGCTTGAATGGTGCTGGCCCGTTTCTGTCGCAGGAGTGCAGCACGGCGGGAGCTGGTTATGTGATAGCTAAGACTTGCTTCATCAAAGTTAGTACCGACCGTTGTCGCAACTAATATATAGCCCGGATTAATACGATGTAATAGGCAAACCTTTTGATTTTTTTGTGACGAAATAATAATAATAATAATTATTATTATTCTTTTATAGCATCTTCCTTTTTGCGTGACCTGTTTTCCCGTGGCAACTTAATTGGTCGCAAATGATCAGTATTCGATGACCCTTCATCCTCTCTAATGCTTCGTCGTCGGCTTGACCAACTGCGTGTCACCTAATTGAGATCTATTGGTATTACCACTAACACTCAGTAATGTGAAAACGAAAAATGGTTCGTACCGATTTATGTAAGCAATGTTCTTTGATTACTTGATCCATCTCTTAAGTCTGGGGTAACACACGATAAAAACAATCCGCGAGTTGGGCACACAATCCAACCATGACTGCGCCCTGGTTTGAACCGGAGACCTCAGTGTGTTAAACTGTTGTGATAATCAACTAAACAAAAGGAATATGGATCCCAATAATACATGTGTTTGCATTTAATTACAAAATACGAGATAATATAACCAAAGATGGTATCATGCATGTAATCATTGAGAGATTAATCCGAACGAGAAAACAAAGAAGAGAATTTTATTTTGGGTAGAAAGTAATTGAGTTGTATTGGAATAATATATGGTTAATAACATTTTATTTTGGGCCAGAAATACGTCGTAAATTAAAAGATGCTACTACACAATCACCATAACAATCATACGCCCAAAAAAAAAAAATAAGAGAGAGATATAAATCTCAGTAAATGGTGTTGTACTTAGATACAAAATATAGAGAGGGATATCACGAAAAGATTGTATAATAATACATATGTTTGCATTTAATTACAAAAATACAGAGATATAACCAAAGCTCGTACGTTGTTGTAATCATCGAGAGAGAGATCATTAATCCGAACGAAAAAACAAAGGAAGAGAATTTGATCGTAACACCTCCAGCATCAAACTGGAGATCATGCAAGTCAAACAGAATGGCGTTCGATCGAGGAAGAAGATCGTGGTCTGTCAATTGTCATCATTTAAATAGAGACTTACCTACACGAAGCCATTCATATAACGGGAAAAGCAAATCCACTAATTCACACTATACATTAGCCATGGCAGCACTAGTACCACCACCACTGTCCATCTTTCTTCTTCTTCTTCTTCTTCTGCGGACGATGACGACGACGATGATCGCCGCCTTGGGAGAGTATGAGGAGGATCCGTACACGTGGGCAGTGGCGGAGCCACTTGGAGAGGAGGGGTGCTTTGCACCCCCCTTGGCTTTGGAATTTTTTTTTCCGAGTAGGGGTATATACAAATTCCAACCAATGACCATTCAGTTGCAGAAAGAATTTCTTATCATTTCGATCGAGTGAGTTTTGTTATGTAATGCACTTTCGTCTTTATTTATAGTAATAAATTGTTGTCTTTTGTTTAAACTCGCTCATTTTTTTTTTGTAGCTCTACAATAGAGAAATTTATTGTCTTTTGTTTAAACAAAGTTGAAAGTGAAGAAGTACCAATTGAAGTTCACTTGTTTGTTTCACAAAATCAATTCCAAGATACTTCTGAGTTCTAATTTGTAATATTTGATGAATGGAAGTCTTGATTTGTATGTACTGAACTTATTTGTTTGACGTTGTAACCGGTGTACGTGAAACTATTTTGATGTAATTGTGTGAATTTAGAGTATTGCGTTGTTGACTTTTGGTTTAATTTAAAGTTGACTTTTCTATTGTATATGTGATTTTTTATGATATGATAAAGACACCCCCTTGGCCAATTTCCTGGCTCCGCCACTGCACGTGGGGTTGCAGTGACGGGCACGGCGGAGTCGACGACAAGACGGCGGCCGCGACGATGCAGGCCATCATCGACAATATGGTCGCTACGCTGCCGTACAGAAAGGGCAAGGAGTACTACTGCAACGTGGTGGAGTCGCGGATGTTTGGGCTGGGGTTCTGCCTGTCCGGCATCGGCGACGGCGATGATGGTCAAGCGGCAGCATGTCGAGTTTGCTTGCAAGCTGCTTCTCAGTTTCTGTTGGAGAAGTGCAGCTCGTCAGGAGCTGGATATGTGAAAGATCCCCTGAATATCCCTTTTGAAGATGCTTGCTCCATTGATATTAGTGCCATAGAATGTCACAACTAAGATCCCCCAATTACTATGAGCACTTCTACTATGCTATATAGTATTGGTGCTTTAATGTACAATTTAAAATTGTACAATAACATTGAAGGTATAAGTTTAGGTTGTACCATAAAGCATTTTGTACCATTATGTTATGGTACAACTTTACAACTTGAAGTTGTACCATCACATAAAAGTACAAGTTCAAGTTGTACCATAAAAGAATTTGTACAAAAAGTATAGGTACAATCTGAAGTTGTACCATAACGTAAATGTACAATTTTAAGTTGTACCATAAAGGCAAAATCCTATAGCACCAATACTATATAGCATTGTAAAATTTCTCAATTACTATAGCTCGCTTATTACTTCAGTTTGGGTTTGGTTTTCTTCAGCCTAGAGGAGGATTCTTCTTGTTATGTAAATGAGAGGTCTTTTTACCTTACCTGATCAATAAAATTTCCAGGTTACTCATGCAGGGGCTTGGCCATTTAAGTCCAAAAACCTAATAATTAAGTTCTAGCCTGCTCATTTAATGATTAATGTTGAGCGGGTCTTAATAAATTCATTAAATTCCTTGTAATTAATCGATGTGGTATGTGATTAATTTAAGAGTAAACAAATGCCGCCCACAGTGTCAAAGTTGTACATCCACTGCCAAGTCCGTGGATTAAACCAGACCAACCATCCATACACTACTTGCCTTCCCTCCTTTCGGAGGGACGACGCTTTTTGTGTTGGTTTTGAATTTTCCAAACTTAACAACTGATGGTACCCGCTCCACTTGTCCTGTCTTGGTGGGCTTGCAAGGAGTCCTATGATCCTCTGCGCGCCTTGGCCACCTTACTATACATGTTGGGGTTTTTACATTGACCCTGATGTGTTTGCCTCATTCTAGGTGGTACAGTAGGTATTCTCAATTCCTTTGACTCATCAAAGAGACCACCACTTGTTTTCTGCCTTAGCTTCTCCCAACTTGACACATTCTTACTCTTCCCATATGGTTGAAAATATGGGTATTTGGGTTCAACGAATTGATGACCACCCATGTGGCCAACTTCACCATGTTCAACCACTATGTCTTCATGACCCTTACACTTAACACAAAAATCATTCTTGGCCCTCTAGAGGACCATGTCTGGTTGGTGTGTGCCGAAATGTCTTATTCATGCCCTTTTGTCTATCATTCACGTTTGGCATGACATGAGGATAGTTAAGCATGAAATTGCCTCCTTGGACACTCATTGACACACTCTCATAATTAGGAAACCACAATCCTAGACTTGCCCCCTGCTTCTTTCTTCACAGTCGATGGCATGACCTCATGTCCACTATATGAGGATGGGGACATGCCCCCATGTCATTGTTCATGGTTGTTGAAGTGCCCCCTTTATCACAATTAGCTAAGCGCTATCAGGCTTACTACAAGTACGTGTGACTTGGGTTTGTTGTGCTTCATGGGTGCGTCTATATGTCCAATGCTTGTGATTGATGGCATGCCCCCCGGTCCAATGCATGGAGTTGATGACTTGCTCCCATATCCTTAGGCAATAAATATGGTGTTCTATTAGACACAACCATTCGTCCAGCTTTCTCGACATGACCTTTCCCCGACCTGATATTTTACTTTTAACTTGTCAGGTGGTAGGCTTCCATACCCCTCTGTTTGCCCCCCCCCCCCCCCGGCGGGTTGCATCCACCAAGCCGCTTGAGCATAGATGGCGTCGAGGTTGGGAAAGCTTGTGGTAGCACATCCATAGCCAGTAACCCTCCACCAACTCTCATGTCCAAACATGGTCTAGCCTCTGCGACGGTTTTAAGTAATTGCCTGCACAGGCGGTTGCTTTACGTGGGTGGTGAACGTGTTAGCAAGATTCTTGTCATAACCACCTTGTCGAAGAGGTGGTTGATTCATTGTCACCGGAGGCGATAAGTTCTCTGGTCGTGGCTGAGTAGCCCAGCCATCGGAGTCTAGAATACTCGTATCCCCAGTAGCAATGATTGAAGGTGGATCTATGACATATTTTGCCAAAATTTTTTATCTCAACACTGGTTTTATACAAAGTTGGCGAAACTCCTTAAATTTATTTTTATTTGTCTTGCAAATCTCATCTAGTTGATCCAAACGTCGATTTAGGCGGGTATGGAAACAATCAAGTTGAGATACAATTTATTTGGTGTATCTCACCATAGCGTCCTCCATTAATTTTATTTCTACCACCAGTAACTGGTGGAGAGGCAAGGTGGTGGCTGTTACATCCAAACATGACGTCGATGATGGCTGACCTCTTGCCTCTTGGTCCACCATTGTTTCTGCCGTCACTTTTTGCTAATTGGCCAAGATCATACCTGAACACTAGCTCGTTTACAAACCCGAGTGAAACATCACATTTTTATTCCTTCGATCGTGGAGCCATCAAATCAAATAAACAGTGTCTCACCAGGTGTGTCGATTTGTTTTCCGGCGAGAAAAACTCTTGTGTTTGATATTTTGCTCCAACAATTTCGAATGGAATAATTATAGCTAAAAAAAAATTGGGCCACTTCTCATTTCTGAAAAATGGCCTCTAAAATTTATTGGACTGCCTTGGAAAAAAAGGAATATGAATCTCAATAATACATATGTTCGTAACTAATTATAAAAATACAAGAGTCTTTAAAAAAATTACAAAATACAGAGATATAACCAAAACAAAGATCATATAACCAAATGTTGACACCTAAAATTAATTTGGCCTAAATTAAATGCCGCATTAATTAGTCTCGGCATTTAATTCGATACTGCAGGTAAAAAACGGTGTCGTTTGGAGTTGAGCGGCGTCGTGGAGAGTTAAAACGGTACCGCGAAACAGAAAAACGGTACCGCAAGGAAGCTCACTGGTACCGCGACAGTGGAAACGACACTGTTTACTAGAAAACAGGATGGGGTCGCGCGCGTAGTATTGGTGTTGGAAAAGGAGTTATTATTGTTATTATTATTATTATTATTATTATTATTATTATTATTATTCCTTGTGGGAAGGGGAGAAGCGGTACCGCATGGAGACAAGCGGCACCGCGGAGAGTTAAAACGGTGCCGAACGGTGCCGCAAGGAGGCTCAGCTGAACCGCAACACTGGAAATGACACCGATTACCGGAAGCAAGTTGTGGGCCGCGCGTTTGGTATTGGTGTTGGGAAAGGAGTTTTGATTATTATTATTAATTATTATCTTTATTCCTTGTCGGAAGGGGAAAATCGGTACCGCATGGAGACAAGCGGTATCGCGGAGAGTTAAAACGGTACCGCGGATTTAAAAACGATGCTGCGAGAGCCTGATAAGCGGTATCGATTAATTAAACCAAAATTCTCCTAGTCCAATGCGAGCGCCGATTGGCGGCAGTTCCATGGGATTTTTTGGCTATGTTAGCGGTGTCGTTTAATTAAAAATGGTACCGCGAGTAAGCCCAACGGTACCGCTGTATTAGCAAACGACAGTGTTTAATATAAAACAATGTCGTGGACTAAAGAAGCAAACAAAGCTGTTTGGGGAAGAAAACGACATCGCGTGAGATTCACACCAACCCGAGCGAAGAGGAGATCAAGACGGTTGAGACACGTGGGAGTTCACAACGGAGCAGTTGAGGAAGCGGTGCCACCTAGCGTGAAGACTACGAAGCGGTTTTTCGAATAAAAGCAGTGGAGCAAGGAGAGAGAAGGACAACCAAAACATCAACACAGATCAACTCCGTCAAAACTTTACCTTTTCTAGGTAACTCCTTCGCGGAGCTCTCCTTCCAGGAAGGATCTCCATAGTTGTAGTCTTAGTCGTAGTCGCGGAGCTCTCCACAGGAATCTCCATAGGAGTAGCGGTAGTGTAGATTCCTCAAAAAAACCAAAACACCCTCGTTCGAACTTAGTTTGGAGAGGTGCGAACCGTAGTAACGGTCGTTCTTGGTTAGAAGTCAGAGGTGCATCGATCAAATCAACACCGCCCCGCGGTGGATATTTGACGGTTACGGTGATTTCACCATTTAGAGGTGCATCGATCAAATCAACGGCGCCGACACTCGGCGGCGGATATTTGACGGTCGTCTCGATTTCGGCAATCAGCGGTGCATTCGATCAAACGGCACCGCAAGAGTTTCCACCGCGAAACATCAAATCAACATCGCCGGAAACTGAATTCGGCACCGGCGGTGGCATTTGGTTTTCTTGGGAAACAATTTGGCACACCCGGTGGGACACGTGTGTTTGAAATGGCTCTGCGGCGAGAAAAACAAGATGGCGATCTTCCACAACAATTTTTGGACGAGCAAAGGACCAATACTGAAGTTGGTCAGGCGGACGAGGCGGATTGACATATCGGTCGGATGGAGGAGTGGCCTCAATCCATGTCGAGCACTGACGGGCGTGTTGCACTCTTGTCTCTTCGTCGAGCCGTGGAGGAGTATTACCAGCAGGTAAATCTCTATTTTATCTCTTTAAATAAGCCGTGTGATTCTCTTGGAAAATATATGGATAAATTTTTTGAGATGATTGACGGACATGTTTCCAGTATTGTCAATCAAGATTCACTAAAACCTATGGCTAAAACAGTGTCGTTAGAGGCTAGCAAATGTCATGTTGGTTTTTCTATGAACACTATTGTTTTCAATGACATGAAAGTTAGAGCTGTCTTGAGAAAGCCACAACAAAGAACAATATTCAAACGTGTTTATAATAAGTTTAAGGAAATTGGGAAGAACAAGGGTGATATCTTGAAAGATGACAAATTATACAATGATGTTCAATCTAAGCCGCTAGGGGGACATGTCTTCCCATCTCATGGTAAATTGAGGGAGAAACAGCACCGTAAGTGGAAAAAAATAAGTTTGCCACATCCACCTTGTTCTAAGAAAAATCGAAATAGGGTCACCATAGACACTAATCAAGATGGAGAGGGTGACCACGTGAAAGAATTCACACAAAAGTTGATATGATGAATCAACAGAATCCTCCATGTAAAGTGTCCCTAAAGACTCCACTAAGTGGGCAGGGAGGCAAGCCTGATCAACAACCTGGAGTTGTCACACCAGTGATTATGAAAAACAAGTCTGCCATGAGTGGCGGATTGGGGGGCAAGTACCATGTCCAACAAACTCCAATCTCACGTAAGAGTTCAAAAGATGCAAAGTTGTTGTGTGATAAGTGCAAGGATCAGGGCCGGGGTAAACAAAATACCAACACACGTGTTGATGGAACTCGTAAGTCTCGATGCTCAAACTCCCGGCAACATTGTGAGAGTGTACAACTGACAATACCGGATCAGTCTGAGCAAGCAATGCCGCATGGTCGAATTGGCAAGAAAAATGCGCCAAAAAACAAAAACAAGAATGTCATGCCTCGATCCAAGAACGCTTATGGTTCTCCATTCCGCGAGGCTGAGAGGAGGCCAAATCAGACTCGTGGAGTTTCGAACAAGGATGTTCGAGCGGGACGAACTTGAGAGTTGAAAGCCAACAGTGATTCCAAAACATCAAAACCAACGCGTGTGAAGCCAGTTGTGAGGAATCATGGACTTTATGGATGGCTTGTTGATCCATGGAGTTGGCAGTGGGTGTGGATTTTTGGCATGATGGTTTATGCCAAAGTTTAGCTTGCTTTTATTTGATTATTAATAAATAAAACATGGCTAATTTAAGTCATGGATATATATATATATATATATATATATATATACACGGAAAAAAAAAGTTTTGAAATGAAGCATATAAGATTTTTTGGCCAAACATGGACACATAGTTGCAAGGCTGGCAACTCAAGTGCACGTGTGAATTGTTTGATAAGGTGTTGGTTTTCTTGTCCAGAAAAGAAAGAAACCAAAGCAATAATGCAAGTCCAATTAAATTGTATAGTTAATCTTAGGCCATGTGGTTTTTGCCAATTGTGGTGGGTTTAAAACCAAATTGTCCTGTGCAACGTTGGACAAGGAAAATATAAAAGAAAGGATTGGGTGTTGATGTGTAAAACTCCTTGTTGTTGGCCGCAAATCCAATTTGGCCGAGTTGAATATATAATAATATTATATTTAAAGAAAATTTATAGGAAAAAAGCAAGCAGGGTTGTTTTGCTCTTCGCGGCTTTGCGGTGTGTGGGGACTAATCCACTGTGTTTTGGTAAAAAAGGCTAGCCACAGCGTTGCAGAGCCAATGCAGTGTTGTGGACGGAATACACAACACCGAGGAGAATTGGTTTGCGTGGCCATCACTTTGTTATGGCAAACCACATAATTTTGCCAACAGGGTTGTTTTGGATTTGGTCTGCGTGGTTCACAAAGTATTTTAGGTGATTTATTTTATGTCAACAATTTGGTTCATAATTCTTATAAATCAAATTGTGGGGGCATTTGTTGACACCTAAAATTAATTTGGCCTAAATTAAATGCCGCATTAATTAGTCTCGGCATTTAATTCGATACTGCAGGTAAAAAACGGTGTCGTTTGGAGTTGAGCGGCGTCGTGGAGAGTTAAAACGGTACCGCGAAACAGAAAAACGGTACCGCAAGGAAGCTCACTGGTACCGCGACAGTGGAAACGACACTGTTTACTAGAAAACAGGATGGGGTCGCGCGCGTAGTATTGGTGTTGGAAAAGGAGTTATTATTGTTATTATTATTATTATTATTATTATTATTATTATTATTATTATTATTATTATTCCTTGTGGGAAGGGGAGAAGCGGTACCGCATGGAGACAAGCGGCACCGCGGAGAGTTAAAACGGTGCCGAACGGTGCCGCAAGGAGGCTCAGCTGAACCGCAACACTGGAAATGACACCGATTACCGGAAGCAAGTTGTGGGCCGCGCGTTTGGTATTGGTGTTGGGAAAGGAGTTTTGATTATTATTATTAATTATTATCTTTATTCCTTGTCGGAAGGGGAAAATCGGTACCGCATGGAGACAAGCGGTATCGCGGAGAGTTAAAACGGTACCGCGGATTTAAAAACGATGCTGCGAGAGCCTGATAAGCGGTATCGATTAATTAAACCAAAATTCGCCTAGTCCAATGCGAGCGCCGATTGGCGGCAGTTCCATGGGATTTTTTGGCTATGTTAGCGGTGTCGTTTAATTAAAAATGGTACCGCGAGTAAGCCCAACGGTACCGCTGTATTAGCAAACGACAGTGTTTAATATAAAACAATGTCGTGGACTAAAGAAGCAAACAAAGCTGTTTGGGGAAGAAAACGACATCGCGTGAGATTCACACCAACCCGAGCGAAGAGGAGATCAAGACGGTTGAGACACGTGGGAGTTCACAACGGAGCAGTTGAGGAAGCGGTGCCACCTAGCGTGAAGACTACGAAGCGGTTTTTCGAATAAAAGCAGTGGAGCAAGGAGAGAGAAGGACAAGCAAATCAACACAGAACAACTCCGTCAAAACTTTACCTTTTCTAGGTAACTCCTTCGCGGAGCTCTCCTTCCAGGAAGGATCTCCATAGTTGTAGTCTTAGTCGTAGTCGCGGAGCTCTCCACAGGAATCTCCATAGGAGTAGCGGTAGTGTAGATTCCTCAAAAAAACCAAAACACCCTCGTTCGAACGTAGTTTGGAGAGGTGCGAACCGTAGTAACGGTCGTTCTTGGTTAGAAGTCAGAGGTGCATCGATCAAATCAACACCGCCCCGCGGTGGATATTTGACGGTTACGGTGATTTCACCATTTAGAGGTGCAACGATCAAATCAACGGCGCCGACACTCGGCGGCGGATATTTGACGGTCGTCTCGATTTCGGCAATCAGCGGTGCATTCGATCAAACGGCACCGCAAGAGTTTCCACCGCGAAACATCAAATCAACATCGCCGGAAACTGAATTCGGCACCGGCGGTGGCATTTGGTTTTCTTGGGAAACACCAAAACAAACATCGATCGAGAATTAATCACCCAAAAATTAATCCGAACGAAAAAAACAAAGAAGAGAATTTGATCATCCCACCTCCAGCAAACAACTTCGATGGATTTTGTTTTTGTTTTTGTTTTTTGTTTTTGTTTTTTACTTTTGGGTACAAAGTAAATATCGATTCCAGAATCAAACTGAGATCATGTAAGTCAAACAGAATGGCGTCGATCGAGTTACGTTGTATCGAAATCCCCAAACCTCAAGGAAAACAATAATTAAGCTCCCAATTTACTATTATAGCTCGCTTATACTTCATTTTGTGTTTTGTTTCCTTCAGCCCAGAGGAGGCTTCTTCTTGTTATTATGTCAATGAGAGAGGTGTTTTACCTTCACCCAGATCAATAAAAATTTCCAGGTTATCCATTCAACTATTGATGGTGGCGGATTAAGTGATTCAGACTCGTTCGGGCACGTTCTGGTTCATATATCTAGCTCATAACTACTAAGCAAAGAAATTCAACGGGAAAGGCAATTAATTAACATCCTCGATCACACAAAAGTTATAATCAGTATATGATGTGATAGCAGCTACAATTGCTTAATGATTGATGGCAATTTGAACCAGCCCTGTGGGTATTACTTGATCTGATTCATGATGGGCAGGTATTACCCGACCTGCAATAGCGTGGGCGGGGTCAAGGGTAGCTACTTTCGACCTGTCCTGCCCTGCCCCGCCCCATTCTTGGCCAATTTTATCTCAATTTCTTATGCCATCTATACATATTTCTCCAATTTTAACTTTTCTTCAACTAGTTAGAGTTGATCTTCCAACTTGTTAGACTCAATTACCCATTCTATTATCACTGTTTTTCATTCATAAAGTGTTTCCCCCTTCCTTTTATCGTAAAAAGTAAAATTTGTGTGTATTTTTTTCAAATAACATGTAAGAGTGGGTCGAGCCCTCGCCCGTACCTGAGCGAGTTTTACCCGCCCGACCCACTGTAGAATGGCCGGGGCATGAGTATTGAGGTACCCGCCCCGCCGCATTGCCATCATTATTAACTTGCTCCATAACTGTTAGTACCCACCACTGCCACAACTAATAGCTCGGTTAATACGATATAATAGCCAAACCTTTTGATTTTTGATGAAATAATAATCAAACATTTTACCCCATCTTTTCTTCGCGTTTTCCCGTGGTAGTTTCGTCGCAATAAAGATTTGGTCTGGTTATAATACTACTAGCTTCGAACCTGAATCTCACTTGTTCAAATCCCTTTAGTACCTCCTCCACCCTCCTTCGTCGGCACCTGATCAGCGGCGTGTCAGCTAAGAGCATCCACATTAATGCAATTGCAAAACTAATTTTATATTATTTTTATATTATCGTTTCAAATTTTATGCAATCGAACTCACTTTTATTTCATTGCTCCGAAATCAATGCAATTCACTTGCAATTGCATATATGGGAGTTTAAATGACTTTACAATTATAAAATAAACACATCAAGAGTCTTTATTATTTTCCTATATGGCTTGCATTTTAGATTTCATTTAATGCAAGGTTACATATTTACAATTTCCCACTATATTGGTGTAATCCCCTTTGCAGTTGCATATTGAATATCATATAGGATTAGCAATTGAGCAAATACCATTATTGATGTGTATGCTCTGATTGGGGTATATTAATATTACCACTAAAACTCAATCGACCACAATGTGAAATCAAAATTGTTCATACAAAGTTATGTAGCAAAGTTATGTATACAAAATATAGATAAGGAGTATAATTAACCAAAGATTATATAATCTAACCATCATTTATTCACATCCAAACTCCTAACCGTAAAAGAAAATAGAATTGTATCATGGTGATCAACGTAGTTGATTGGTCTATGGTGATCATGACCAAGCATAGTAATTATCTCATCCGAACACCAATCTCTATGGGTTGTTTTTTTGGTACAAAGTAGATGTCGATTAGGAGGTGTCCAGTTGATGCTTCTTCTGATCCTAGCTAGCATCAAACTGAGAGATCATGAAAGCCAAATAGAATGGCGTCGATCGCGAGTTGTTATTGAAATCTGTTATGATGCAATACAAGTATCACATCGAAAATACAAGAGAAGAGATTCTTATATATTAATGTCCATCTAACTTGATTAGTACAAGTAGGGATGGCAATGGGGCGGGTTTGCTTAAACCATCCCAATACCCATCTTCAAATACCCAAACCCATACCCGCCCTATACCCATGCGGGGGAATGTTTTGCAAACCCATCCCCATACCCACGGGTTTCGGGTACCCATGGGTAATACCCATACCCGTACATCCAACATTATTATACCTAAAACTTACAAGAAAAGTTCTAATTATAATTCTAAACGAACATTTTATATCATGAAGTCAATAAAACACGGTCATTTTTTTAATATGGTTCAAAGATTATGATCCTAAAATATCCATTAATACATAATATAGAGTATAATATTTTTCAAATTATTATGTTCTAACTCTGATACATCTACTAAATAATAATTAACTAACATAATCTTGTTGACAAGGGGCAAAGGGGTTAAAGACACATTTGGTCACTGAGATTACAAAATCGGGACATATTTAGTCACTAGAAAAAGTTAATATCAAATTTGGTCACTACAATTACTAAAACTGGACACATTTAGTCACTCGCCGTTAGTCTCCGTCCAACTCCGTTAATGAAGTCCGTTAAGTGCTTATGTGGCAAACAGAATTGCCTAATCAGCCGGATATAGCCCAACAAAAATAAAACTCGACCCGCCACATCATTAAAACCAACCCAACCCCACCCAACCCTTCTTCCTCCTTCCTCCCACCTCGGCACCTCCCACCTCCTTCTTTCCCCAAAACCACCGCCGCCGCCGCTCTCCTCCTTCCTCCCACCTCCTCCCGCAAACCTGTTTGACCTAACCCAGCAAACCAATCATTCACCATCCCTCACCAAATCTGTTCGTCTCCTCTTCCATATGAGGAGTCCTGCTCAGTATCTGCAAAACCCCAACAAAAAAAAAGCTTCAAACTTTGACCCTTTTGCGATTCCAGATCCAGAGCTCAAGAACAGGGTAAATTCAAAATAGACAGCTTTTAAAACTCCCCCGGCTTGGCAAAATTAGGCAAAATAAAAAACACATTACCCAAAGATAATTGCGGCTCGGCTGACCGATCAGCGCGTGTCGATACTCCGGATCGATGTAGAGAACCCAGTAGTCTCCGGTGACAGGGATAATCGGCAGGAATGGCGGGACCCAGAACTTCACCTTCAGCTTCGCCTTGTCGCTGTTGGGATCGGCCTTGTACGTCGTCTCTTCGATGTAGCTCCGTTTCCCGCCGCTCCACGTCTCGTTCAGCACGCCGACGGTGGTGGAGTCTTCCTTCAGTGTGTAGGTCGCTCGGGTGTTCTCGCCGTCTCTGGGTTGGAATCGGGACGGGAAGCAGGCGATCTCATACCACCCGCCCATGTACCGCGGGACATCGAGGCCTTTCACCGCTTCCATTGTCTTGTCGGCTGGCATTTTTTCGAGGGGGGAATTGATCTGCTGGACGTTTCAGTGGGCGGGGATAGTTTCAGTGGTTAGGTCGAACAGGTTTGCGGGAGGAGGTGGGAGGAAGGAGGAGAGCGGCGGCGGCGGTGGTTTTGGGGAAAGAAGGAGGTGGGAGGTGCCGAGGTAGGAGGAAGAAGGGTTGGGTGGGGTTGGGTTGGTTTTAATGATGTGGCGGGTTATAATGACGTGGCGGGTCGGGTTTTATTTTTGTTGGGTTATATCCGGCTGATTAGGCAATTCTGTTTGCCACATCAGCACTTAACGGACTTCATTAACGGAGTTGGACGGAGACTAACAGCGAGTGACTAAATGTGTCCAGTTTTAGTAATTGTAGTGACCAAATTTGATATTAACTTTTTCTAGTGACTAAATATGTCCCGATTTTGTAATCTCAGTGACCAAATGTGTCTTTAACCCAGGGGCAAAGTGAAAGAGTGAAATGAGAATTGAGAGAAATGAATTAGATTTTGATTAAGGTGGTCAATCAATTGCATTTCTACTATTTATTTTCTTAAGTTATCCTCATCGTCATTGATAGATTATAATTCGATGCACATATTTTTTTTATATATGAAGAAATTATCTTGGTGGGGCGGGTATGGGGATGGGTATGGGGCGGGGGAGGCTAAAACCATACCCGCCCCATACCCATCAAACTTTTTGCGGGTTTTATCCATACCCGCCCCATACCCGGTCAAAGCGGGGATTCCCCGCGTTGACTGGGTCGGGGGCGGTCGGATACCCGCGGCCATGGGTTTGATTTCCATCCCTAAGTACAAGGCCTTTTGGAGAGGCTACTCCAAAAGTAAATCCGTGTGGGCTTGGCCCAAAACGGACAATATCCTACTAATGAGCTACTCAGTGTCGACAAAAATCATCTAAGCTCAAGGCAGAAGAAGGAGCTAGTGTCGATCACCTCCGTCGACTCCATCGGAGTGGATCCGTACACGTGGGGTTACCGTGATGGGCACGGCGGAGTCGACGGCAACGATGTAGGCCATCCTCGTCGACATGTTCGATACGCTGTCGTACAGAAAGGGCCAGGAGCACTAGTGCAACGTGGTGGAGTCGCGAATGTTTGGGCTGGGGTGCTGCCGGATCGGTATTGGTGACCGGCGATGATGGTGCTTGAAAGGTGCTGCTCGGTTTTTTGTACATCAGCCAATGACGACTGATGTACAAACTCTTCAGACTATTGATCTTATATCTCTAAGTGGTGTCAGAGTCTTTTTTTGTGATTGAGAGATAATCTATTCGAATTTCTGCGACCTCATTCTGAATTGTACAGATATCAAGCTCGTAAGTAATTCGTTATGATAAAAAAAAATTATTATTGAACTTCTCCCACCTACTTTATTGTGCCTAATTGACAGGTGACACTATTAAGTGTTCTGTTTTCCTTGAAAACACTATACTCACGCGGTAATCTATTCATTTGCCGAACTATATATATAGCCGAAAGTTCAAAAGAGTACAAATCAATACATCAAATTTGGCAATTGGACGCCTCCGCCCTAACGAGAGGATTCATCGACTCACACACCTCTTTAAAAATTCAGACGGCTATAAGATAACACGAACAAACACTAGGGTTCTCAATTCGTATATAACAAGAGAGCGAAGCTAGCTAGCAGCCGCAACTGCCCAACTGAAAGAATTATAAAACCTTATATTGAAAAAGCTAGCAGCAGGATATTTTTTACCGTCGAATCGCCGCGGTACGATATATATGCATGGCTGCAACTGTCACGCCTGCAGTGTTGTCCATCTTTCTTCTGACGATCATCATCACAATCAGTACTGCCGCCGGAGAAAATTATCCCACCCTGTACTGCCTCCCCGGGAACGGCGGCGGCGACGTGGCGACGGCGGTGGCGATAAAGCAACGCCTCGTCGAGGATTTGATGGTGCAAGTGCCGGGCAGAAAAGAGCAGAACTACTGCAACGCGGTGCTGTGGAACGGCGTGCAGATGTACGGGCACGGGCAGTGCATCACGTCCGGCGGGGGAGACGCCGGGCCGGCGTGCTACATCTGCTTGTCTCGCGTCGGTCGTTACTTGATCGACGGCTGCAAAGTGACGGGAGTCGGCAAGGTGCAAGGTCCGGTATGTTACATCGACGTTGGATTCACCAACTGTCTATGAAGACGGGAAAAAATCGGTACTTAGTTAGTTATTAATTCGCGATTAGAGCATTCACATCTTTGCAATCGTAGTAACTAAAAGGAGATGTGGTTTCAACTGATTTGATGCCGAAGATCGAGAGTCTTGTCAAATCAGCTTATATCGTTATGTTGGTTTGAGAAATGGTAAGTTTCGCATCAGCGGGTATGATCTGTTTGTGTTAGTTTATGTTGGTTTAGAAAAAATATATAGAAAAATGGAAAATCATTAACACTTAAATCGAGAGCATAGAGTGATTGTTTTATTCCACAGGCAACCGATTGATAGTCAGTCAAATTATGAGGCAGTACCATACCGCGAACGTCTTAAAGATAACGACCTAATCCGCGAACTCGATCAGATTCGTTAACCCTAAGTTCTTTGTTCGGTTTCTAACAATCATCATTAATTCTCACACTGTCACACACATTATGCTAGCTAACTAGGTGTACTGGTGTAATTTACCACACTCTAACCGTTAACATTAGATGCCTCCATCGATCTACCCTCACTTTTTAATGAAACTGTCTTGTAAAAAAAAAAAAAAAAATCTACCCTTTTCGGGCTGTACGGCTATAGGATAACAGAGACGAACACTAAGTTCCAATACAAGTCGTGGACGAATATAACGAGCGATCGAGAAGCCGGACGACGTACTTACGTGATGGACACTGAAACTGGGATACATATCCAAAAGAAAATAATGCAGTCAAGTAGACCTGGTAAATTACAACCCGATCCGTTGACCCGATCTGAAACCGTCCGAAAACTAGAAATTTTTGTAACTCGAAATCCGAATGACCCAAACTCGATAATCCGTGATTTTTTGGATCGGGTTGGGTGGGTTAGCGGGTCGACCCATTAGACCCGTTCCATTTTATATATCACTCCCAAAATGAAAAAAATCACTCACAAATTGGTGAGATCTTTAAAAAAAATAACAAGAATTTGAATGACATCTTTTGGAGTTTAAGGATAATCAGATATCATGTGTTTCTTATAGTAGCATTACTCTTGTGATTGTTTTTTGACGATTTGCGCAATTTGTATTTCATTTCATTAGCGTGGGAGGATTTGAGAATATGTTAATTGATATGTGTTAGGTAAACTACTGTCATGCATATGTGAAAGTTTGTGTTTCTGTAAGAAAATATGAAACATGTTTGATATTGTTTCCGAGAACGTTTATAATCCGAATGACTTGTAACCCGACCCAAAACCGAATGGGTTGGGTCAATATTTGACCCGAAATCGACCAACCAAACATGACCCGACCCATAACTGAAGTCCACAACCCGAAATTACCCAACCCAACCCGATTGCCAGTTGTACAGCCAAGAAGGCCTGCCCATGGTTATAAATAGAGATCGAGAGAATCAAAAGAAATGGACGAGATACTCTCATTACTGTATATTATGACGACGGCGATCGGGTTATTGTTGTCCATTATCATTATGATGGCTGCCGCCGGCGTGATGGCGGAGGTGGGCGACGGGAACTAGCACCTGAAATGCTCCGATGGCGGCGGCGGAGATGTGGAAACGGCGGTGCAGCTAAAGCAGTCTCTCACCTACGACTTGATCAACATAGTGCCGAGCGGTGGAGATATGGAAGGGCAGCCCTACTGCAGCTGGCGGAAGTGGAACGGACTGCAAATGTACGGGTTCGCCTACTGTGCGATGTCCGGCATGAACGACGCCGTCGCAGCATGCCACGGTTGCCTGTCCATCGCCGGCGGTATATTGATCGACGGTTGCAAAAGTACCGGGTCGGGTCACGTGATTGGCGAGCATGACAGGTGTTACGTCTGGGTTGGGTTCGGCGGATGCCCCGCCGGTTAATTATATCAAGGATTGAAAAATCGTATCATACAATCGGTTCGATTAGAAGCGCGAAATTGGTAGACGTGATAGTTAGCGCGGTAATAACAACAACTAAACCACAATTTCAGTATAAAATAGTCTACTCTTGACTTTTTTCGATACAACTTCCGATATTGTTTCTCATTGTCGGTTAATATGAACTTTTCGCAACGGGTGTCACGCGTACTTAATAACAAACTCAATGCAAGGGATGGAGGGATTTTTTGCGACCCGATCAGTTGGTCGCCAAAACCTTTTCTCCTTGTCGCGACACTTTTTTTTCCCCTTCTTTTTTCTTCTCTGGAGTGAGCTGTGGTGTATCACCTTAGCGCTTAGAGTTTGTGGATTAAGATATTCTCAATAAGAATTTCGTGCTGATATTAGATATCATGATCCCAATTCTTTTCTAATTAAAATATTGTCTGCTTTAATCCTGGTAGCACGTACGTTTTACCTTTGAGTGTATCATGGTGGCTTCTTAAGAGCTCACTCACCCTTGCACTGCTCCATTCAACATCCGATTTCATCCGTGTCTGCTCACACACACTTGTGAACTCGCCCTCTATGTTGTCGTTGCCTGAAAATCATCAATGTAGACTCCAAATTACATCAAATGGAGAAACTGATACTGACGGGCGGTGTCAAAAGTGGAAAACTAAATATAACGAAATTAATTAAACGTTATAGAATAACTAGGGCTGGCGCACGGTTTTCCGGTTAGCGGCTAACCGGTCGGTTTCAACCAAACCGACCGGTTTTCGGCTAGCCGAAAAACCGACGAAGAAGAGGGCGGTCGGTTGGCGGTAGAGGAAATCAGGGGTCCGGTTAGCCGAGTAACCGAAGCCGGTTAGCCGTGACTAACCGGCCAACCGACCCACAACCGAAAATATAAAAAAAAATCTGACTTTCTGATCTATGACCCTTCGACTCTTCCCAAATCCCAACTCCTTCGACCCTTCTTTCTTCCTTCGACCCTTCTCTCTTTCTTCCTACAGCAAACCCACCCTCACCCTCTTTCTTCTCTCTTTCTTCCTCTGCATGGAGGCCAGGTCGCCGCGGCCGTCGTCAGTCGCCACGGCCGTCGTCAGTTGCCGCGCCCGTCGCCGCCGCTGTTCCCGTCGCCGTCAACGGGGAGGCAGAGGGCAGAACGAGAGAGGTGAGGGTAGGTAGGAGGGAGGCGATTTCGGGGAGTCAAAGGAAGAGATTTCGGCGATTTCGGCGATTTCGTTTTTGAGTTTTTCTCTGGGAGAAGATAAGGAAAGTTTTAATTTTTTTTCTCTGTTTCTGCGTACAAGAGAGAGGAGAGGAGAGAGGAGAGAAGGAGGAGTTTGTTTAAACGTAAAAGAGAGAGGAGAGGAGAGGAAGAAGATAAGGAAAGTGTGGTTAGGATTTTGTTCTCTTTATTTATTTCATTTTTTTTTTAAAATCTTATCTAATAAGAGGTCGGTTAAGTTGTTGAACCGAATAGTCATCACTATTTCGGTTGCCCCGGTTAAACCGAGCCTGAACCGAAAACCGCCCGGTCGGTTTGCGGCTAACAGGGGCTATGGGGTCGGTCGGTGGACGGTAGCTTCTGGTCAGGTCTCGGTTTAACCGAAAACCGAAACCGACCGGTTGCCATCCCTAAGAATAACTAATGGTGCATAACAAATGAGTAAATTTCAATAAACATGAGAGATCGAATACAATAATTTGAGTGTCATAAACAACAGAAGAGAGTAACACACGACAATAGGAGAGGGAGATCGATTTACATTGAGATTCATAGATCTCGTTGAGAACAATGATATATAGTTGATTACCGAAGATAACCCAAAAATTTAGCAAAATCCGAACGCCGAATAGAAAGAGAATAAAAGAATGTACGTATACGGTTTTGTAATGTTTATACTTAGCCACATTCGATCATAATCAGAGTATGAGTTTAAATATACCGATTGTCAACAATCTAAAGATTTTAACTCTTCGGATTGTTGAAAAAAGATTTTAAATTGTTTAGTGTTTGGTAACTGTGATTGTTAACATTCAATAAAATAAAAAAAATTAATGTTATATTAAATAACATGCTTATCCTTAATAAAAAAGTTAGAGTGGTTTAAGAAATATTTAAAATTTTGTTGATAAATATATTTCATGTGATAAATAAATAAAAGGAAGAGAAAAACGAGGAGAAAAAAAATCTCACGAATCAAGATATAGAATCTCTTTGATTATGAGAGATTTGATATCTGCAGATTGTAGAGATTTGAAATCTCTAAAGCTAAAATCCACAATATAAAAAGCAACAAAAAAACATAACTTTCTACAAAATCTACCGATTCAGTGAATCCATGTCCTGAATCCGTTCTCCAAACGACCCCTATATGATTATTTTCGATATCATGACAAGAATTATCAAAACGTCTCCTTTCAATTCAAAAGTTGTTAAGGTGAGATTCGAAATTCGGCTAGGTGTAAATTTACCACATTCGTATAGTTAGAGTTGGACGCATATAAGCTTAGTTTGGCCCTGCTGTAGCTTTTGCAGAAGCATCTTCTGGCTGAAGCTTTTAGATAAGTACTTTTCAAAAAAAGCAGTTTAGTGTTTAAGTGTAAAACTATTAGAAGTACTTTTTAATATGAACGATTGTGTAAAATGACTATAAAGGACTTATAATATAAAATATGAATAAAAATCTAAACAATAAAAAGTAGTAAAAATGGATCTTGTTAGATTTCTTTTATATTAAATAATATGATTTTATAATTTATTTTATTTTTAAAATGATATAAATGAAGAAAAATTATATTTTTTGAAATAAATTAAAATATGATAAGGATAATCTTGTATTTTCAAAATAGCTTTTCGCAGAAGCTCCAAATCGGAGCTTCTGCTTTTATGTTATACGAAAGCGCTTTCGGCTTTTCAAAAGCCGAGCTTTTAGAGGTGTTTGGCCCTACTTCAGCTTTTGAAGCCGAAAAGCACTTCTAAAAGCCGGACCAAACATAGGCATACTCTCCTTTCGGCCTACGGCTACAAGATAACAGAGACGAACACTAAGCTCCAATAAGAAGTTGTCGACGAAACTAGGAATCCACCCGGCCACCACCACCAACGTCCGTACTTACGTGATGAATTCTGAAGGTGGGATATATAAGAAAATAAATAATACAGCCCAAACAGATCGTTAAGCAGAGAGTACCGGGAACTACCTAGCCGAACGCAAAGAAAGGGCATATTCTTTGGTCGCCCTCTGTATCCTTGGATATAAACAGAGGAAGAAAGGAAAAAGACAAACCGAAGATCGGTAGCTTACGTAGGGGTGGGATTCGGTAGGTAAACGGTAAATTGTTTACCGAATTTATCGGTTTCGGTATACCGACGTCGGCGAAATTGGACTCGATTACCGATACCGATTTGTAACCGGTTTATCGATTACCGAATTACCGGTATTACCGAAATACCGTGAGAAGCGACGTCGGGCGGCGAGGAGATGGCGGCCTGGCGGCGGCGGGGAAGCCGGAATGTGGCGGAAATGTGGAGATAGAAGTGCCTCCCCTGTTTTTGGATTTTTAATTGGTGAACGAACAATTAAATGGCATTAGTGGCAACCTCGGCACTCCGAAAGATTTTCCCTTTGATCCCTTTCTGATTTTTTTCTCAGGAAACAAGCGTGAGAGAATATTTGTTGTTTTGCTCTAGGGTTTTGATTTGCAGTCAAAGAGCGAGCAGAAGAAAAGAGAAACGAGAAAGAGCATGGATGGAAAAAGGCTACTAAAAACTTGAAGAGGGTCGGGAAAAGCGGATTTGGCGGAGAGAGTGGGAACTGGGAAGGGCGTCGCGCGTCGGCGAGGGAAGGGAGAGACGAGAATCAGGGATGGCTGAGTCAGGGGAAGCGCGCGAGTAGCCCGTCGTCGTCGTCGTCGCCGTCGCTTGACGGTCGTCACCGCCAGCAAAAGGAGAGGCGATCAGTCGAAGGAAGACGAGAAGAGGAGAGCTGGAGAGGTCAGGTGGCTGCGCGGCGGGTCTCGAAAAAACGAAAAGAGGAGAGTCGGGCTCGGGCGGGGTCGCTGGGTAGGTGTTTTTAGGGTTTGGGAGAGATGCAGCAAAACGCAGCGCAGCGCAGTGGGAGGGGGATTTCGGTATCGGTATTACCGACTTACTGTCGGTATTTACCGATACTGTGTCCGGGAAACCGAGTCCCCCAAGTTCCCGCTCGGCCGCCGGTACCGCCGGTAAACGGTTCGATAAAACGGTATACCGTTTACGATCTAAGCTTAAGATCTTATCCCTTTGGCCTATAATCCATCTTTTTAATGTAAGGAAAGATAACATTGTGACGGTACTGGTGATATTATAAATCCAAGTGAATAATAAAAAATACGAAGTTAGAGCAACCTAACTTATAGAGAGACAATCATCTTCTATGATATGACGGAGTGTGATTTATGGATGAAGAAGGAGACGAGGTTCACAAAACTAGACTCGAGATTTGCGTCTTGTTGAGAAGTTGGGAAAATGATCGAGTAACCTGGTAACAAGAATTGAAAAGTGGGTTAGATTCAAATTTGGTCCGGTAAACAAAACGTACGATACCATTCGTAACCGTCTACATTTCATACCAAACCGCACAATCCAATCTAGACCACGTCCACGTGGTGGGTTTTTATCAAACAATGTGGTCTATTTTCCATGGTCCATGAAACCATGGGTGGGTTTTTATCAAACAATATGATCTTGTTTCGAGGAGCCATATTTATCAAAGGGTAATAATTTCCCTTTATAACCTTAACTTCCATGTTAACATTCAAATGTATACTCACATTACATGAAAAGTACAATAATGAATCACTGGAATGAAAAAAATTAGTTAAAAATATAATTTGATGAAAATATTACATATGTAATATATTAAATATGTTGAAAAGTTACCATCATTTCTACATAAAAAAACATAGAATTGGATAGTGAAAAAACCATATTCATCTATTTTCCATAATATTTGAATTCGGTTTCAATCATATCCGCTGAAAAAAAATTCCAGTTTAATGTTATCCAATATTATTAGATCGAATTCGAACACGTATCCATTTGATATTTTTTGCCATCCATGGAGAGATAGAAGGTAGGAAGGAAAAGAAGAAAATGGATTTTACAGTCAGTCATATTAATATACTAAGAAAGAGTACATCTGCTTGTCTCGCGTCGGTCGTTACTTGATCGACGGCTGCCAAGTGACGGGAGTCGGCAAGGTGCAAGGTCCGGTATGTTACATCGACGTTGGATTCACCAACTGTCTATGAAAGACGGGAAAAATCGGTACTTAGTTAGTTATTAATCCGCGGTTAGAGCATTCACATCTTTGCAATCGTAGTAACTAAAAGGAGATGTGGTTTCAACTGATTTGATGCCGAAGATCGAGAGCCTTGTCAAATCAGCTTATATCGTTATGTTGGTTTGAGAAATGGTAAGTTTCGATCAGGGGGTATGATCTGTTTGTGTTAGTTTATGTTCGTTTAGAAAAAAATATATAGAAAAATGGAAAATCATTAACACTTAAATCGAGAGCATAGAGTGGTTGTTTTATTCCAGAGGCAACCGATTGATAGTCAGTCAAATTACGAGGCAGTACCGTACCGCGAACGTGTTAAAAATAACGACCTAATCCGCGAACTCGGTCAGATTCGATAACCCTAAATTCTTTGTTCGGTTTCTAACAATCATCATTAATTCTCATACTGGTGTAATTTACCACATTCTAACCGTTCAACATTAGATGCCTCCATCGATCTACCCTCACTTTTTAATGAAACTGTGTTGTACCAAAAAAAAAAAATCTACCCTTTTTGGGCTGTACGGCTATAGGATAACAGAGACGAACACTAAGTTCCAATACAAGTCGTCGACGAATATAACGAGCGATCGAGAAGCCGGACAACGTACTTACGTGATGGACACTGAAACTGGGATACATATCCAAAAGAAAATAATAAAGCCAAGATCATTAAGCTGAGAGTACAAGGTACTAATTAGAGGTGGCTATACGATTCGGTTCGGTTAAATTGGCCCAAATTAATTCGGTCCAGTCCGGGTTTTTTGAAAATATAAGAAATAAAGATTGGATTGGATACAGTCCGGTCTTATTCGGTCCGTTCTTGACCCGGTCCAGTCCCAATTCGATCTTGATTTTATATTGACCTTGTGGGGATTTGAGTGGCCTAAGGCCTGAAAGGGTGAGGAGTTGGTTAAGTTTTGTACTAAGTTCAAAGGTTTGTGACCGTTTATGCAAATTATCCTTAAGTTTTGGGTGTTGAGCTCTCTTATCCGGTCTTTTATCCAGTTTTCGATCCGGTCTCAAACGATTTTTTACCTCAAATCTAAGCACAAAGATTGGATTGGATTGGATTGTTTACTATCCGTCCCGGTCCGATCTCGATCCGGATTATACGATCCGGTTTCGGATAAAACCAAAAAACCCGAACCAAATAGCCAGTCCTAATACTAGTTGGCGGGGAAGCAAAGAAGGCCTGCCCATGGTTATAAATAGAGATCGAGAGAATCAAAAGAAATGGACAAGATACTCTCATTACTATATATTATGACGACGGCGATCAGGTTATTAATGTTGTCCATTCTCATTATGATGGCTGCCGCCGGCGTGATGGCGGAGGTGGGCGACGGGAACTACCACCTGATATGCTCCGATGGCGGCGGCGGAGATGTGGAAACGGCGGTGCAGCTAAAGCAGTCTCTCACCTACGACTTGATCAACATAGTGCCGAGCGGTGGAGATATGGAAGGGCAGCCCTACTGCAGCTGGCGGAAGTGGAACGGACTGCAAATGTACGGGTTCGCCTACTGCGCGATGTCCGACATGAACGACGCCGTCGCAGCATGCCACGGTTGCCTGTCCATCGCCGGCGGTATATTGATCGACGGTTGCAAAAGTACCGGGTCGGGTCACGTGATTGGCGAGCATGACAGGTGTTATATCTGGGTCGGGTTCGGCGGATGCCCCGCCGGTTAATTATATCAAGGATTGAAAAATCGTATCATACAATCGGTTCGATTAGAAGCGCGAAATTGGGAGACGTGATAGTTAGCGCGGTATGAAACGGTTGAACAACAACAACTAAACCACAATTTCAGCATAAAATAGCCTGCTCTTGACTTTTTTCGATACAACTTCCGATACTGTTTCTCATTGTCGGTTAATATGAACTTTTTGCGACGGGTGTCACGCGTGCTTAATAACAAACTCGATGCAAGGGATAGAGGGATTTTTTGCGACCGGTCAGTTGGTCGCCAAAACCTTTTCTCCTTGTCGCGACACTTTTTTTTCCTTTCTTTTTTCTTCTCTGGAGTGAGCCTGTGGTGTATCACCTTAGCGCTCAGAGTTTGTGGATTAAGATATTCTCAATAAGAATTTCGTGCTGATATTAGATATCATGATCCCAATCCTTTTCTAATTAAAATATTGTCTGCTTTAATTCTGGTAGCACGTAGGTTTTATCTTTGAGTGTATTATGGTGGCTTCTTAAGAGCTCACTCACCCTTGCACTGCTCCATTCAACATCCGATTTCATCCGTGTCTGCTCTCACACACACTTGTGAACTCGCCCTCTATGTTGTCATTGCCTGAAAATCATCAAAGTAGACTCCAAATGACATCAAATATATGGAGAAACCGATACTGGCGGTGTCAAAAGTGGGAAACTAAATATGACGAAATTAATTAAACGTTATAGAATAACTAATGGTGCATAACAAAATTCATCAAGCTCAAAGGACGGGCACAAAACTAGTAGAAAGAGAATAAAAAAAATATATATACGTATACGGTTTTGTAATGTTTATACTTAGCCACATTCGAACATAAAATCAGAGTGTGTGATTTATTTTCGATATCATGACAAGAATTATCAAAACGTCTCCTTTCAATTCAAAAGTTGTTAAGGTGAGATTCGAAATTCGGCTAGGTGTAAGTTTACCACATTCGTATAGTTAGAGTTGGACGCATCTACTCTCCTTTCGGCCTACGGCTATAAGATAACAGAGACGAACACTAAGTCTAAGCTCCAATAGAAGTTGTCGACGAAACTAGGAATCCACCCGGCCACCACCACCAACGTCCGTACTTACGTGATGAATTCTGAAGGTGGGATATATAAGAAAAGAAATAATACAGCCCAAACAGATCGTTAAGCAGAGAGTACCGGGAACTACCTAGCCGAACGCAAAGAAAGGGCATATACTTGGTCGCCCTCTGTAACTAGGGCTGTCAATTTGGTTTGGTTTGGTTTGGTTTGGTTAACTAAATCATTAAGTATGAAAAACTAAATCCTCAAAAACCAAAATCAAAACCATTAAGGCCTTTATTGGTTTTCGGTTGCCAAAAATCAATAGGGGCTTTAATGGTTTTATTTTTGGTTTGGATAACATAAAAACCAAGATGTACTCATACACTCATATTTATTCCCATTTCCCTCCTTTTTATTGAATAAATGTCATAATAATGGTAAATAGCCATTACAAATTATTGGTTGGCATGCGTGTCAAAAGAAACAAAAAAAATATATATATGTTTGTTGATAAATAATTTTATTCTTATTTGTTTTTTAATGGTTTCTATTGGTTTTTCGGTTTTAACCAAATCAAAACCATTAAGTTGCTTATTGGTTTAAAACGGAAAAACCGAAACCATTAGCTTTCCAATTGGTTTGATTTCTGTTAAAACCGAAAAACCAAAACCAAATGGACAACCCTATCTGTATCCTTGGATATAAACAGAGGAAGAAGGGAAAAAGACAAACCGAAGATCGGTATTGTACGATCTTAGCCCTTTGCCCTATAATCCATCTTAGTAATTCTATGTTTTAATATAAGGAAAGATAACATTGTGACGATACTAGTGTAGTAAATAATAAAAATACAAAGTTAGAGCAACCTAACTTATAGAGACACACCCATCTCTATTATATGACAGAGTGTGATTTATGGATGAAGAAGGAGACGGGATTCACAAAATTAGACTCGAGATTTGGGTCTCGTTGAGAAGTTGGGAAAATGATCGAGTAACCTACTAACAAGAATTGAAAAATGGGTTGGATCCATACTATGTGTTTGAAAGACAACGGTTAATATTGGGGGATTGAGAAGTTGGGAAAATGATCGAGTAACCTGCTAACAAGAATTGAAAAATGGGTTGGATCCATACCATGTGCTTGAAAGACAAGGGTTAATATTAGGGCTCGTGAGGACTTGAACACGCGACCTCAAGAACAAACCAGGCTCTGATATCATGTCGCAAATCAGATGGTCCAAATAACTGGTATTGTTGAGAAAAGGTTATATTGAATCTTATATCGATCGGTGTATGGTACTTAACCACTGCTCTATTTTCCCTGCACCAGAAAATAATACAGCCAAAATCGTTAAGCAGAGAGTACCGGGAAGTGGGAACTGGCCAGCTGCCGAAAGCAAAGAAAGGGCATATTCTCTAGCCGCCAGCCGGCCGTGTGCATCCTGGATATAAAGTATAAACATAGACCAGAAAAAGCAAAAACCAAACGTAAGGAAGAAGGGAAATTAGAAGAAGAAGAAAAAAAGATCGATATTCGATAACCCTTTGCCCTATAATCCATTTTAGGGGGGAAAACAATATATATGGCGATAATCAGGTTATTATTATCACTGTCCGTTACCTTTCCTCTGATCATCACCGCCGTGGACGCGGTGGGCGACGACAACTACCACACGAAATGCTTCGACGGGAACGGCGGAGGCGCGGCGGCCGTGCGATTGATGCAATCTCTCAGCCAAGACCTGGTGGATAAGGTGCCGGGCAAGGACCCACGGCTCTACTGCAACGTGCAGACGACGGGGAGCGGGCTGCAGATGTACGGGTACGCCTACTGCATGACGGACAGCCTGAGCGGGAACGTCGACCCAGCGACGGCGTGCACCGGCTGCCTGACCTCCGCCCGGAACCTGTTGATCGACGGCTGTCAGGAAACCGGGTCGGGTCAGGTGATCGGCGAACACGATCATTGTTATATCTGGATCGGGTTTGGCGGATGTCCCGACAACGATTAGAGGATTCAAGCATGTCATCTTTTACGTTAATGGTCAGTATGTAATAAAAGGTGAGAATTTGGGGAATGGATAATGTTTGAGTAACCATGAGTAACCCGTCCACATCAGATATCAGTATCCTCTCTCTCCTGAAAAACCTTTAATTTTCCTCTCTTTAATCTTTGACGAACGATTTCTCACTCATTTTAAGTCGAAATTTAATTTTTTTTTGCACACTTAGATCAAATTAATTGTGCTCTTCAAAATGATATCCACTTTAATATATTTTTCGAACAAAAAAAATTGAGCCATTTTTTACCAGTCTATGCCATATGGTATTGACTGGTATTGAAATAAAAACATGTCTATGGTTTGAAAAACGTACCATGGTGGTATGAACAAACCAAGACTGTAGGATGGTTGAATACATGATAGTAGAAGTATATTAATTGTCATTTACGAATTTTAACATTGTATACCACACAATACCACCCCGTACCAGGGTGGTATTGTATGGTATTGTGTGGTATTTTTTGGTCCTGTAATTTGTTCACCCAAAAATTTGTAGATCTAATAGATCATGATGAACTCGTCCCTTCTGTGCAAACGTTTTCAAAAACGAATTAAAACGAAGAAGATACCATACAATACCACCCCGTACCCCGTACCAGGGTGGTATTGTATGGTATTGTGTGGTATTTTTTGGTCCTGTAATTTGTTCACCCAGAAATTTGTAGATCCAATAGATCATGATGAACTCGTCCCTTCTGTGCAACCTTTTTCAAAAACGAATTAAAAACGAAGAAGATACCATATGGTATGCAGTTGGTACCGAGAGGCCGGAATTTTTTTTTTCTCAAAAAATATTGAAAATTGATCTCATTTTGTAGAGCACGATGAACTCGTTCCATCTGTGCAAAAGAAAAATTAAAATCCGAGTTAAAACGAAAAAGATATGAGTCAATTAAGAAAGCTAGAAAAAATAAAAATGGTCTTTAATTATCCTTCCTTAGGTCTGAATTTTCTAAATAAAAGGTCCAGATTTGGTTATTGATTGTGCACCCTATCTTGAGCCGAGAATTTGCGACCAGCGAGACGGTGGTTTAACATAAAAGTACTAAAGTTGTCGTTAAAAAAATACCTACTCGAGAACGAAGAGAAGACAAGACAAGACAAGGAAAGCAAGGGTGAAGTGAGGTGCTTCCGTTCGGATCGTCATTCACTAGTGAAAGAGTGAGTCTATTTGAGATACGAATAAATGGTGATAATCATCGCCCAATTATAAGAGTAATCTTATGACTGATCTATTTAGAGAAGGACTTCACATTTCTGAAAATTATATTATTTCTCTCCAGCCAGATGTTCCAAAACATTGGTGATTGTTGAATTGTGTTTGTTATCTCTCGGAGGAGAAGAAGAAGAAAAAGAGAAGAATAGAGAGATAATACAAGTAGGATGATTCAAGTAAAAAATAAGACTATGTTTAGGAACCCTCCAAATCAAATGGCCACATTTTTAATCAAGCTTTTGTTTAGTCCAACATCAAGCTAATTAACCTACGCGGGTTACAGGTACAAGGCCCAATCAGAGACTGATGGGCCACAGGCCCAGCTCTAGGAAAGGCCAGGCCCGCAGACTGATCACAGGTCTCAAAATCCCGCCGGGTCCATGGAGCCTCCATGGTCGACCACCGGATTCCCAAATCCCGCCCGGCGGAGACGCAGACCAGAGACGAGATAAAAGACGGTCTCCGCCTTTCTCTTAGAATTCCAGGTCAGTCAAATCCGTTCCGCGTGTCTGATCAAGAGGATTTCAGAAATGGATAGTGTTTGCTTAAGAACCTTCAGGAGATTTGAGAATGGCACCGCCCAATTCGGCCGTAGCCGCCGCCTCTGCCGGCGACTGCACTCTTCAGGCTGTTGGCCACAAGGACTCCTTGAACAGGTCGCTCTCTCTTCTTTTGGTCCTTTGAATATATGGGTTTATTTATCTTTACTTAATCGGAATGTTGAATGTCTTCGCTGAACGGAGAAAGATTCCTCCGGCGACCATTTCCTCTTGTATTGAAGTTTCGTCATGGATGGTATTGGTAAATCATATTCTCCCTTTTGCTTCTGTATTTGTATTCAAATAGATACGAACAGAAGAATACGAATCGATTCCCCACCCCATAAACAACAAAATTTTCACAGGTAGCACATTATATAAAACCATGGATGGCCGGCAGTAATGGCGTTTTCAGGACGTCCCTACTCCTGTTTTTTTCCTCCTTATCATTGACCAAGTATGATGTAAGACGTTCTGTTAACATCTCTGCCCCCACAGCCAATAAAAGACAAGAGATTCCATTGCTATACTACTGGTCCTTCCACACAGAAACAGCAAATGCAGCCAGTAGCCTCTCCCCACAATGTCACTCCTTTGGTTCTTGATCTTGCTAGGTCTCTTCAGCTTCATTTCTTCCACAGCTTCTGCTCAGCAACACTACGACGCATCAGATTGCGCTGCACCGAATTCCACCTCCCCTGGTTCCAGATACACCTGCAACACAACATCAAGCAGCAGCAGTAGTTCTTCTTGCAGCACATTTCTGATCTTCAGGGCTAACCAGAAATTCAGAACCTTGGCAAGCATCTCAGAGTTGTTAAGCAGTAGCGTCGATTCTCTGCAGCGTCTCAATTCAGGAGTTGCATCATCAGTGGAGGTTCTCGAACCGGGCAGGGAAGTTTTTGTTCCTGTACAGTGTTCCTGTTCTGGTCAGTATTTCCAGTCAGAGTGGGTGACCTACACAGCTCCTTTGAACAAGACCAGTATAGCAGATGTGGCGTGTTCGGTGTTCGAGAGCTTGGTGACGTATAGTACAATCATGGAGGCAAATGGTTTCGACACGGATCAAGTGGTAGCTGGCACTGCCATTCATCTGCCTCTCAAATGTGCTTGTCCTGATCATCACGATGACAATTCGACCAACGGAGGGTTGAACTACCTTGTTACGTATCCTGTGTTTGAAGGTGACGTGCTGACTGAAATCGATGACAAATTCGGGATTTCAGCTGAGGATTTGTTCAGGGTCAATGGCCTCGATCCTTGGCCTACGATCTACCCCAACACGACCCTGTTGATCCCTCTGAAAGAAAGCTCTGTGAGGATCAACATGACTAGTCACTCTTCTTCTCCACCTCCACCAGCTCCAGTCTTTCTCCCCACGATCATCGTCGAGAGACGTTCATCGAGAAACACTACAAGGTTAAAAAGAAGCTTCTACATCGCGGTATCAGTCATTGGGTTCTTCATTTTAGTAGCAGCAGTGTTTGCTTTCGGTATGTACATGAGTGGTAGGAAGAAAGAGAAGATTCAGAAGCTGCTTTCGTTCAACACAAGCGTCTCTCAACTAACTTGCTCCACACCGAAAAGCTCAGCCACGGGTTTAACTCCATGTTTGTCTCCTGATCTTCTAGTTGGGATCAAGTACTCCTTGAGAAGTTACAGCATAGACGAGCTGAGGATAGGAACGAACGATTTCAGCGATGAGAACAAGATTGGAGATGAGGGTTACAGAGGGTTGATTGATGATGTTGAGGTGATGGTGAAGCCATTGATGTTTGACGACACTAGGCAAGTGGTTGATATTCATTCTAGAATCAACCACATCAACATCGTGGCCTTGCTTGGTGTGTGTTATGATCATGGAGACGACTCTTGCATTGTTCTTGAGCTGCCTAGCAATGGCTGCTTGAGAAATTGTCTCGCGAATCCATCAAGCCACCTCCGGTGGAATAGAAGAACGCAGATAGCGTTCGATGTAGCTACAGGACTTCATTACCTTCACTACTGCATCTTCCCTTCGTATGCTCATATGAGTGTGAACACTAGGAACATTTTTGTGACCTCGAATTGGAGGGCCAAGCTCACAAATATCAGGACCAACCCCAGCAGTGGTCAAAGTCCAAGTCACAAAGGGTGGTTACCTCCTGAGTATAACGGGTCAGCTTCCGATAAAGTTGACATCTTTGCATTTGGGGTGGTCCTACTAGAGCTGATATCAGGAAGGGAGGATACTGATGGAACTTCATTCAAGGAATCACTTGGCTTCCTTGGAGGTGGAGCTGGCGAAGGAGGATGTTTCGAACAGCTGAGGAGCTTCGTCGATCCATGTCTAGAAGGAAACTATCCTCTCGCGGAGGCTCTATGTCTATCTGTTTTAGCAAAGGCATGTGTGGAGGATGACCCCCTGCATCGGCCTTCTATGGATGATATCCTCAAAGTTCTCGTCAGGATGGTCTGAAATGACCCTCCAGCTGCAAGGAAAACCTGGAGAAACCCATTCAGAAGCATCTATAGTTCTTTATGGTAAGAATTAGCTTACCCTTCATCACCATTTTTGTTTCACTTGCAATATAAAATTGTTTTGAGGCATTCTGAGTAGAAGGGACAAAAGGGATGAGCACCAACTGACGCTTAGCATATGCTAGAGAACAGATAGCTTTCAAGATCCATTTTTGTGCTCTTTAGATGTCTTTCTCATATCATTTCTTTATGATGAACCATACCCCAGCAGCTCAACTTGCCTGTTGGACGGAACTGAATTAATTTATGGGTATGATTTGTTTGACTTGTGTCTTGTTCTAGAGCCACCACTTATGAGGTCACACACTCTTGGATATATGCAAATGTCTTCAGGAATATATCAACTGCAACTACTTACTCCTGTTAAAAAAATTCATGTCTGGAATCCTTCTGGAAATTTGATGCAACTGAATTTTGTTTTTCATTTTTGCAGAGAAGCTGGGCTCTTTTGACTGAATTAACAATATGTATGATGGAAATGCAAGAACTGGATCTTCTTCTCCACACTGCTTTCACCTAGCAGTCTGCTTTCTTCTGATCCATTAATCCACATACTGTCAATGGTTTCATTTCAGGCACGTCCTTACAGCAGCAGCAGTTAGTCTTCTCTTGGGTTATGTGGAGGTTTTGGTGCCAGTTGGATGAGTCTGATTCGAGTTGGATTTGGGTTTATAAAATCGATCAACCGCATCAGCTTGTTAGGGAGTTTATGTAACATTTTCTATATGTTCAGTTTGTACGAAAAGAACAGTACAGAAATGGAAGCAATGACCATTTTCGGTTGGTACAAAGTTAAGCAAAGAGATCAGTTTTGGTGGCTGTTATGTTATTGAACCCAAATTTAAGAGGCCAATGATGTAAATCACCCGAATTTAATTGTGTGTAATTTACCATCCTGTCCTTTATAAATTGCAAATTTGGTTATGGGTTTTATGTCTTTGCGTGTCGAGTTTTAACCATGGTCTATTAAACCGTACCGCCGGTTCAACCACAAAATACCAGTATCGGAGGCTAAATCGATAGGCGGTATTTAACGGTACTAATGGTTGAACTACGGTTAAATCACGGTTTTGTCATAAAATACCTTATCGCTGACTTTTCCGGTACGGTTTCATGGACCATGGTTTTAACCCTTTCGAGTTAAAATTGACTGATTAGGAGGTTCTGTTAATTACGTCAGAACAAAAATGTATTTTATTAACCGAAACCGATGAAAAATAATTGTTAGGGACTAAGTTTTTGAAATGTTTAACTAATCTTAGTGGCCACTAATAGCATAAAAAAATTATTTACAAACTTAAAACAAATTAATAATTTAGTGAAACTTGCAATTTACCCTTTGAAGAATTAGACCGAGTCACTGACTAACAATCTGATTCCCAATTTCTCCAGGCATCGGCGGCGATACTTTATTCTTTCCCCCTTTTCTTCTTCCGTATATTGGTATGGCGGCTTCACCTAAACGCAGACCAGAGACGAGAGAAGAGAAAGTCTCCACCTTTCGCTTACCATTTACAGGTAAAACCAAATTCAATCCCGCCATTCTGGTCGAGAAGCTTTCAGGAACGAATAGAATTTGCTTAAGAAGCTTTTTGGGGAGTTAAGAATGGCGCCGAATCCGCTCGCTACCGCCGGCGACAGCACTCTCCAGGCTATTTGCTACAAGCGCGGCTCCCTCCAGCTCCTTGACCAGGTTTCTATCTCTCTCTCTCTTTCTTTTCTGCTTTGAATTGATGGGCTTGTGTTTGTTTACTTGTGGCTGATCGGATTGTTGATCGCCTGAATTGTACCAGCGAAAGCTTCCTCTGGAGACAATTTACTTGGATATCAAAGACTCGTCCGATGGATGGTATTCATTGTCTCTCCACTCTAATGTCTACAATTGTTTTGGTTCTGATGAATACAAATGCTATTCATTTCATTATATTGCATCACCGTGGTTAAGAAGTTGCTGTTGTATGACCCAGGTCGGCCATAAGAGATATGGTGGTCCGAGGGGCGCCTGCTATTGCCATTGCAGCAGCTCTCTCACTTGCAGTGGAAGTGTCAAACTTGGTGGGGTTTACCGGGACGCCAGTCGAAGCTGCTGCTTTCCTCTCTGAGAAATTGGGATATCTTGTTTCAAGGTAATCATATTTGGAGAATGCGTTTGATTGTGCTTGTTTGATGGGCAGCTCATGAATGGTTTCTTGTGTGCTTCCTCAGCCGCCCAACTGCGGTGAATCTATCGGATGCTGCGGCCAAGCTGGAGGAAGTGATAGGAAATGCTGCAGCACCTGCATCTGAAGCTAGCAATGTATTTCAGGTACTGCTTACCATATTGGGTTTATTACTAGAGCACTCTGTATGGGGAGGATTCACTGACTTTTGTTGGATAATTGCAATGACAATGTAATGGGTAGGCTTACATTGAAGCTGCTGAAGCCATGCTTGAAGAAGATGTTGCTTCAAACAAGGCAATTGGCTCATATGGAGCACAGTTCATACAGAACCATTTGAAAGGCTGCAAGAGCTTTTCTGTTCTAACTCACTGCAACACTGGCAGGTAACTTTCTTTCTCCATGTGGTTCCTTTGAGTAACTTGGTAAAGAGAAGTCTTCTTCTTTGAAAGGAAAGCAGACATCTGTTCAACTTTGTAGCCTCTGGAGAAAGCTCCATGGTGCATTTCTAATGTGTTTTTTATTTGGCTTCAGTCTTGCAACAGCTGGATATGGCACTGCGCTGGGTGTTATTCGTGCACTTCATTCAGGCGGAGTGTTGGAAAGAGCTTATTGCACTGAGACACGTCCATTTAACCAAGTGAGTCCATGGTTTCTATAAGCGTTTTGGCACTTTCATAAACTTCATGATATTTAAGAAGCTATTGCTGTTTGAATCCATGTTTTTGTTTATATGTTTAAGTAACAAGAAGATTTAGATTCTTAATGAAGCATCGTGATTATAGCCCCATTACTTGAGTAGGTTGTTTATCCACAGCCACATAGGTCCCAAGTTTCGATTTTGTTTCCATAAGGTGGTCAATGATTGTGAATGCTTCTGGGAAATTGTAATTTTAAGTTGATGTCCTGCTTCCCTGTATATCATTAACTCGCTTGAATGTTCCTACTACAGGGGTCTAGGCTCACAGCATTCGAGCTGGTGCATGAAAAAATACCTGCTACTCTTATAGCAGACTCCGCTGCAGCTGCACTGATGAAAGAAGGCCGAGTTAGCGCCGTAATTGTTGGAGCAGATAGAGTTGCAGCAAACGGTAACCTAATTAGAACACACTTCGACCATCCTTTCCTGCATCTTTTTATCAAAACATATGCATCACTTGCGAAAGTTATTTTGCAGGAGACACTGCCAACAAGATTGGAACCTACAGCCTAGCTCTTTGTGCCATGCACCATAAAATCCCTTTCTACGTCGCTGCACCAATCACATCCATCGACCTGTCCCTCGATTCAGGGAAGCAGATAGTTATAGAGGAACGGTCCCCAAAGGAACTGCTGAACTCACGGGGAGGACTCGGGGAGCAAGTTGCTGCCTCCGGGATCTCGGTCTGGAACCCTGCTTTTGATGTGACACCTGCAAGCTTGATCGCTGGGATCATAACCGAGAAGGTACTTCCTTCCCTCCTTCCCTCCAACTCCAACCCTTCTCCTTTTGTCTCTCTTAGAATAGACACAGACAATAGAATCATATCATTCACTGTTCCTCTATTAATGTGGGGTATTTCTGTTACTTGAGCAGGGTGTCATCACAAAGGCAGACATCGACGCATTCGACATAAAAGCTTTCGTGGCAAGCAAAGCATAATGCACCTGTTCAAATGAGGCAGCCTAGTCAGTAGTCATTGACTCTGTGTAATAACATCGCCATCAGCGAGATTCTCTCGATGTGAAACTTGTGCTCTAAGGAACCATTTTCGTGTCTGCTGCTATCAAGATGAGATCATCATGCTCAGCTATTCTGTTGAACTGTTGTGAACATATTTACAGAACATATGCTATATTTATTTATCAACTATTTTGAATATACAAGAAAGAAAATTACTTTTCCCAAAAAAAATTACCGCCCCAGTCAAAATCTTAGCTGGATCAGGCCGTGAGAAACGGACAGCATCTGTATACTGGAGCCCAACTGCATTCAGCCCAAAGGCCCACATTGTGCTAGGTTTTCTTCCGGTGACTAGCATTCGGCTTGGTATAAATAACAGAGCTCATTCATCCCATTCCAGCAAAATCCAAGGTCAAAGAACATTCAAGCAGGAGAATAGAAAGAAAGAAAAAAAACAAAGGGGAAAGGGATGTCGGGAATCCGAGGAACAACGAATCTGTCCGAGGAGAAGAAACCCAATGTTGATAGAGAGCGCATCGATCTCAAAGTTACAGACCAGGTAAATAGTAATAAAACCCCCTCTACTCAGTGGTTTAGATTTTTACAGTGTAGTCTACTTCTCCATTGTTGTAGTCACAAACCCATAACTCAATCCATTGATATGTTGGGTTGGGCAGTTAAGGGCACTGTTGGTTATGGGTTGGTTTAGGGTTTTGCTAGGTTCTGTGAAATGTGAATGTTGTTTCTTTCCCCTGGCTCATGAACACTGTTAGAAGCAGAGCATCTGCTTAGTTGTCAAGGCAGTGTTGTAGCAGCATCCCCTGGTATACATTGAGAAAACATTAGAAAGGGGTAAGATGGCAGACTGTCGCGCTCTTGTTCTCGAAGAAGCGCTTCCCTAATAAACACCAGGTAGTTTGGCGTAGTTAAGTTTAGTTTCTTTGCTGATAAGATATGATGAAATGTATAATGTGAAGGAGGGGAAGGAGATGTTGTTCAAGATATGGAGGGACAGCCCCTTGAACAAGCTTATGAACGCCTACTGTGAGCAGCGGAAAGTGGTTCCTAAAACCTACGTGTTCTTATATGACGGCCAAATAATCCATCCTCTCAAGACTCCAGATGAGGTCTCTCTCTCTCTCTGTTTCTGTCTCTGTCTCTATCTCTGAATGTGGGTGGTTTGTGATTTTTGGTGTTGACACATGCAGCTGGAGATGGAGAATGGAGCTGAGATCGCCGCAATGCTTCATCAAACCGGTGGCTGCAGCTTGACCAAGTACTGATGAATGCCCCTACAACATCCCAAATGTTTGAACAAGGGTTTGTAAGATATAGATATATGCCCATATTTTGTTAAGCAAACTTACTGCATGAGGAGGAGGGGTTTCTTTCTCTTTGGTTTTGTTGAAAGAGGAGAGTTTTTGATTAGGTCCTCTATCTGGCTAGGTCGAGCGTAGTTTGATATGGTTTCGTGGTTTGAATCTAGGATGTGTAGGATGTCATGTATAATCCTCGGGTTTTCCTATGACTTACTGGTTAGCGGGGGAGGCTTAACCTCTCTATTCCCCGTCGTTCGCTTGTGGATGAATGCTTATTACGAATGGTGCTTGTTGTTCATAGTCGGTAAAACATTTAGTAGTATTCTCGTATTATTATGGAATCATCTCATTGTCCATCTCTCATTGTTTTCATTCTTACAGACTAACTGCATATGAAATGCTTTAGTACACGAGTTAATGAATAGAAAGATGGTTTTATCAAGTGTTGGTACTCCTATTTAGTCGGAGCGGATTATGTTATATCCATGTATTACTTGCAACGCTACTTCACTGTGTATTTCATGTTGTTTATGCAACTAAATAACGAATTTTTTTTTCCATTGAAATTTATTTCGTTTCTACTTTCCTGTGATTTAATAACATGATTAAACCATTAAATGAAGAACAAGCACAAAATCCGATTGGATTAACATGATATATATATAAAGCTATGGGGAAAAAAAACATCTTTGTTATCGATAATGATCGAAAGAAGCATATCCAATCGCCAATATCCATCAACATGAGTAACCTAATCTTTACTCACGAGAACAAACAAGCGAGGCGATCAACTATCCATTACGAAGCATCGTCACATTGCAAAACAAATCATTTTTAGTTTGGTGCAATTCAAATTTTGCCCAAATCTTCTTGTACTATACTACTAATCTAATTAAAATGAATATGGGCTGTGCTAAATCTTTCAAAGCCCAAAAAAAAAACATTTCGAAGCCCAACCCATCTAATTAGCCAGGCCCCAAACAGCAGTCTGTTAGGTTTTTCCGAAGCCGTAAATGATTCGGTAACTTTCCCTGTACTCTGTTTTACTCCTCTACCCATATAAATACAAAAACCTTCTTCCCATCGAGAGGTAAAATCTCTTACGGAGGCAGAAACCGATCGAAAGAGCAGAAGGAAGAGGGCGAAGAACGATGTCAGGAACCACAAATAATCAAGATTCGACGGATAAGAAACCCGCCATAGATCCAGACCGCATCGATCTCAAGGTTAAAAGCCAGGTAAGAAAAAAATTCACGTTGAATCGTTGTCATCTGAGTTTTGGGTTTCGACGTTAGTGTTTTTAGGGGTTTTTTTTTTCATTTTTTCTTTCATTTGCGAGAACTGATCCAAAATCCACTTGATTCTGGGGTTCTCCGGCCCAATTGCTGTTTTTGTTTCTGTAGTGTGACAATTATATGTCTCGTGAGTCGTGATCAAGGGTATTTGAGATTTTTTTTTGCGTGTATGAACTTTTTCTCGTTAATTTGATGTTGGCATTAGTTATTAGTTCGAATTTGATAACGACGAGGTCTTTTCTATAACACGGTAACACCGGAGCTCCGAACAATCTTAGAAATCGGCTTTGGTTGTAAGGGTTTTAGTGCGCATGTGATGTTGGTCGCAAGATTCGAACCTATTCGAACGAGTCGTTTCATGTTCTTAATTAACATCACAATAGTGTTTTTGATTAATTGTTTTGGATTGATGTGTTTAATTGAGTGGGTTAATTGTTGATTATTAGGATGGGGGCGAAGTGTTCTTCAAGATAAAGAAGAACACCCCACTGAAGAAGCTGATGAACGCCTACTGCGATCGGCAGTCGATGGACTTCAACACCGTCGTTTTCCTGTTCGACGGTCGCAAGATCCGCCCCGAGCAGACTCCGGTCGAGGTCGGCCGGCGATCTCATTATCTCGCTCTCGCTACATATATTTCCCTGTTACTTAACGAATCAAATCAACTTAATGAGTATTTTTATTGTTTTGTTTGTGGGTGAAAATTGAACAGCTGGAGATGGAGAATGGAGACGAGATAGACGCAATGCTTCATCAAACCGGCGGCGATTGCGGCGGCTGCGTGCAACCGTGTTCTTATTTTTGAACGGTGTAATTTTTTTTTGCGAGTTTAATTAGGTGTAAGATTTAGTGACGGGTGTTTTTTTTTAGCAACGGTTTTGCTGGAGATGTACTTCTTGCTCGAGTTTGTGTTCTTTCAGTTTAACTTTCGTATACTGTCCTTCAATAGTGGTTGCAGTCGCGGCCTTAGGGTTACCCCACAAGAAAATTATCGTTGTCATTTACGGTAGGAATTGTCTAGGTAATTAAATCGCTCTATCTAAAGCGATCTGTGGCTATAACAAGATCTATGTTCAATTTGATTGTTGTTGTTATCTCGAAGATGTGCGAGAAGCTCTAACAAAAAGCGACGGAGTTTTATGTATACAGATTAAGGTTATCTCTGACATTTGAAAATTGATGATCGAGCTAAAAGTGATATTGAAGGAATCATCATGATAAATGGAAGGGTTTGCAAGTACAAATTGCTTCTTGTTGTTGAAGCTATAGATGATAAGATCAGATTTGACAAGGTTATAGGAAAGTTGGATGATTTTTCCTCGTGTAGTAGATTTATACTTACAACAAGGTGTACTAGGGTTTTAGATTTTCTTCGAGATTGCATATTGTATGAACTAGTAGAAATGAGTAGCCATATCTTCCCCTACAACTTTTTAGCAAACATGCTTTTGGGACGGACAATCCTCTAAAGGAAGATGTGGGGAATATGTGAGGAATTTGTAAAAGTTGATGTTGGGTTTCGTTTAGCTCTCAAGGTGTAGGGTCACTTTTATTTCATAAAGAGAGGAAATTTTGGTAAGAAAAATTTATAGAATTGCATAACATACCTTCTACTACAGAAAACCTAGTGCAAGAGAGACTGAAGATTAGCTACAATGATTTGTCGTACAATGGAAGGTAAATCTTTCTTGACATTGCCTATTTTGTATCGGTGTCCACAAAGATTTACCATACTACATGTGGAGTGGCTGTGATTTTTATCCAAAAATTGGAATCGACACTTTCATTCATAGATCTTTCATAAAACTCGACGAAGGAAACCAATTTTGGATTCACGATCGCTTTAAAGATCATGGGAGAGCCATTGTTATAGAGGAATATGTTCGACATTCATACAACGGTAGCATGATATGATGTACCTAGGATGCCCTAGACATTTTAAGAAATGGAATGGTAGAAACTTTTACCTCTCAATATCATGTCAAGGACGTCGTCAGTGACCATATGCTGAATTGGAAAGGCTGCGACCGCCGCCGACGACTTGGTTTCCGGCGAACCCTATTTTCCAAGTTGAGTTTGTGAATTGGGAATCAGGTTCGAACATCAAATTCAAAAGTCTATGATCGTTAATATTTTTGGGGTGTGTTAATCCTTGGAATGACGGCAAAAACCTTCCCCCCCCCCCCCCCCCCCCCTGTTTATCTTCTTTGGGCTCGGACATAACGGCCCATTCTCTAAAAGAAGCGTTCGGTCCGACGCGGCTACAGCTTCAAGAACCCGGTAGCCATTATATAAGCAAAGATATTCTTAATGATTAAAATACTACGTAAATATTTTGAATGATGCAATCATTTTTTATGTATCGGTTAAAAAAAAATTGTATTAACTCTTTTATAATGATTAAACACTATGTATCACTTAAACATAAGGATAATTATTTATATGTATCACTTATACAAATTGATGGTATATATTATCCGTACTTATTAAGACACTGCGTGAAACTAATGTAGGTAACTTATCTGGAAATTTTGTAAATATTTGATTTCAACTAAATTATTATTTTATTACCACAAAGCGGAGCACGATCCAAAAAAACTAGTATATATTAAGATACAATCTGGCTAATTGCTTTAAACTATTCATAATTATCTCTATAATACTTAAATAATCCAACAATTACTAATCGAGTTTATGTCATCAGAGGAGGGTGATTTGTTAGCCAAAATATCATACCATTATCCTAATTACACAACAGTAAATTGTCATTGATCATGGAACACAGAGCAGAGTTGAAGGGAGCGCGACGCAAATTCTTAAAAAGGGTAAACCGAGAAAAGTATGAGGATTATAAATTTTCTTGTCACTCTAATGATAATTACCTTAGGCCCTTTTAATGAGTAAAATTACCTAATGTAAGGGTACACAAGTTTTTCCATTTCACAAAATTTGTGAAGTAGGAATCCTTATTTAAAAATGAGTAGATGATTTATGAAGTTTTTTTTAATGGAGATGATTTATGAAGTTGTGACAAGTGAGTTTCATAAATACTTAAAATATAAGCAAACATACATGAATTTGTTTTATATGTAAATTCACATTTCTTCTCCAATTTAATAAAATTAAATGTAGATATCATCAATCAATTATCAACCATTAATCAATCAATCAAATATATTACACACTTTATCAAATCATACTTGACCATTTTAAGTTTTCTGAATTCTCATGCATCCACGTCAGCATTGATTTTCAACGTCACTCTTATTATTTCAGCTTTTTTTTTAACTCAGCACTTATTATATATAAACAAAGATATAAATAATTATTACTAGGATTCAAACACGCAACTTGCAAGTCCCGTATTATTACGGTGTAAAATTTCCAACCAATAAGATAAACTTTATTTGATTTGATCGTATTCATCGCAAAACTTACAAGATAAATTTCATTAATTATGTTGATTATCATAATATGATTGAGGCTATCATATCACTGAGTGTGTTTAATACATTGCCTCCGATTTGTGATCTTTTGCAATTTATCAACAGAACCAATATATGATTATAAATGAATTATGATTTTAGATAATTGATAGTAGTAAAAACAAAGCTAGTTGTTTTAAGTTGGGATTGAACAATTACTTGTCCTCTGGTCACCATCAACACACAATGAATAAATTACTAGGCTTTGATGATAGCGTAGTTTGCAGCAGACAAAGTAGTCGTCCCAGCAGCAGTTGCTGTGTTATACCCAGGATGAATGCAGCAGCAAAGCCTGTTCCCGAATCTAGCAGCAACTGATTTCGCCAAATGCTTCACTCTCATCCTCATCTTCCTCCTCCTCATCCTCCTCCTTATCCTTCTCTCGATTCTCAGGTACCGTAACTCCTCCGACTCATCAAGTCGATTGACCTCGATTAGTTTCTTGCAGCCCAAAATATTAAGCCTCTCCAACTTCTTGAGACCAGACAGATTTCCCAACTCCGTTATTGACTTGCAATCATGCAGGTTGAGCTCTCTCAATGACTCCAGTCCCTCGACTCCCTCCAACCCAGTCAGCTCTATGCATCCCTTAAGTTCCAAATACCACAAATTCTTGAGGCCGGATAAGTTGGGCAGCCTCGTGATTGAAGGACACTTATCCAGACTTAGCTTCTGTAACGACTCCAACCTGTTGATCCCCGCAAGATCAATCAAGCTTTCGCAAAAGCAGAGGGATAATTCCTTGAGATTGCTGAGCTCGGACAGACCAGGAAGCTGTCGGATCGAAGGGCAACGCTCCACTAGCAGCAGTTCTAACGACACCAATCCCTCCAACCCTTTAACCTCTGTCAACTCTGGACACCATTCGATGTTCAACCGTTTCAGATTGACAAGACCGGTGAGATCAAGTGATGGTTCCTGACCAAACAATTGGTTGGAGAACGTCAATTCTTCCAATGCTCCCAGAAGTTGAAGTCCATCCATGTTTTCCAAGCGGGGACATTTCTCGATTGTCAGACGGGATAAAGACTCCCCGAGGCCGTCCATGCCTTGGATTTCGACGAGATTCCTGCAGCGGCTAACCTCCAGATCCTTCAACTTGCTCAAATTCGCCAGACTCGGCAGCCTCTCCAGATTGACGAAACTCAAGATCAGGGTCTTGAGCAGGAGCAGATTCTCAAGTCCGTTGAGGCTGTTCAGATTCGAGCAATCGCTTATCACCATATTCTCCAGCGCCCTCAGCTCTCCCAGGCCGCGAATGTCAGCCACCTCGACACGTGAGACTTCGAGCTGGGTAAGATTGCACAAATTCTCTAGGCTGGGGAGTTCATTCAAATATGAGCAACCAAAGACCTTAAGGCTGGTTAAAGATGCCTGAGCAGCAGTAGCAGCAAGGGAAGTTGCCCCCTCGTCCTGGTCCTGCCGCAGCAGTGGACCATAGTTAGGGCAGCTCAACATGCAGCCCTCCAGAGTCAATTCCTTCAAATTGGGAAGCCGCCAAAAGTCGCCGGGGAACCAATAGCCCTTACAGCAGATAAGGAATTCCAACTCCTTGAGCTCTAGCAGATTTGGGACCCCAAATGATGGACCCAAAATGGATAACCTCTTTAAGCTCCTCGGAAGCCTGGGTATCTCCATACAGTAGTTTGCCGCCTGCCACGAAGTCGATCCTAACGACAAGATTTTGAGAGAGGACAAGTTTTCCATCCCGGCAGGCAATTCTGTCAAACCGGTCACACTCACGTCCATCTCCTCCAGTCGTTGAAGGTTTCCATTGTCACCGCCACTAATGACTAACTCCGTTATGGCGGTTTCGTGGAGTATCAGCTTTTTCAGATTCTTGAATTTGCCAATGTGTATCTGTCCTTCCATTTTGCGACACCACATGAAGTTGATAATCTCAAGACTTGTGCATCTGGACATGTCAGGATATTTTGTCAACTCGATGCAATTGAATAGATTTACTGCTTTCAGCTTTGTTGCCGCCTGTGAATTGTGATAAATAGTTAGTTATACGCTGTAACATTCTCTATACGTCACAGAATTGTTATATGTCATATATGAAATCCTGAGAATGACAAGAGAGAAATGAATTACCTTTACTCCGCTCCAACCCTTCCAGTTATCCTTCACAGTGCAAGAATACAAATCAAGTACCGCCAACTTCTTCACGTTAATATTATATGGGATTGATGCACAATCAAACAAACGAAGGCAACATATATTTGGAAGGACCTGACTGAAATCCCCCATCATCTGCCCATATCGCACGTCCAAATATCTTAAACCTGATAGTTTCTCAAAATTCTGGCTTTTAAGCATCTCATTACTGTTGGCATGTATTTGAATAGCTTCCACCCGTTCACTTCCCTGTACACAAAAAGAAACTAGTTAGTACACTTGAGCATACATAAATATCACCTAATACAAAGGAAGAAGTCACCGAACTATTTGACAGAAATATTTGCCTGTCTATTCCTTAACATGTCGAGGGCATCGTCAGTAGACCATATCCTACTGCGGTTGTATGGATGTCGAACATCTTCCTCTTTAACAATGGCTCTCCCAAGATCTCTGATGTGATCGTGCATCCAAAATCGGTTGTTTTCCTTGAATTTCATCAAATTTCTATGAATAAGAGTGTCGATTCCACTTTCTGGATAAAAATCACACCCACTCCACAAGTAGTAAGGTAAATCTTTCTCGTCGCCAATAAAAAAACATGCGATGTCAAGAAAGATTTGTTTTTCATTGTACAACAAGTCATTGTAGCTAATCTTCAATCTCTCTTGCAACACATTTTCAGTAGTAGAAGCAATGCCTCTATATTCCGTAAATGTGACTCAACTTTAGAAACGACATCATATACAATAGCGCCCTCACTGTGGCATCAACAAAGAATTTGTCAAGATACACAACAAACTATAAGCAATAAATTTCATGAGAGGTAGTAACAGTTTGTACTCAAAACAGGTCTAACTAGTATGTAAGAAATGCAGTGGAGTAAACAAATTAAAAGACATCTACCTACTAATTACCTGTGGGATTCTGTAACGTGCCATCCCTTCATTTTCCCGACTTTTAGAAGTGCTTCCTTCCATTCTTTCACGGTTTGCGGGGTATGTTTGTGAGCGTGCTCTTGAAAGGCTTGTTGATAAGGACCCTGTTGCTTTCTTACATCTCTGGGATCAACATAGTAGAAAATGGGGAGGATGATGTGTCCCTTTCCTTGCTTCCAGCATTTCACCATTTGAGCCAGTTCCAGAAGGCACCATTTGCTGTAAGCATACCGCTCGCTTAAAATAGGGATGTAGATCTTCGAGTCCGGGATGGCAAGGACCAGGGAAGACTCGATCTCTTCTCCCTTCTCGAGCTCTTCTTCGTCCCTGAACGTGCGTATCTTGACACGCTCTAAGGATCTGTAGAGATGATCGGCAAATTTCTTCCGGATTGACCCACTGAAGCTCAGGAAAACCTCGTATTCCCCTGTTGGAAGAGCTGCAGGCGGCGGCAGGGTAGAAGAAGAAGAAGAAGAAGAAGAAGAAGAAGCGACGGAGGCAGAGGATTCCATTTCTCGCTGCATCGACGATTCAAAGTGAACAATCGCGACTGATACCAAAAGACCACCAACGAAATAAAAAAGGTGTGAATGTTTTCCAAGACAGAACAGGGGAAAGGACAGAGAAGCTGGGTTTGTATATATTGACGCGAAATTAAGGTCTTTCTCGTATTATTTCTTTATGACCAACTCTACCCACTGCCTCAACTTGCTTGTTGGACAGATTGGCAATTTGGCGTTTGACCTTTGTCTTGTTCTTCAGCCACCACGGCTCTGAGGTCACGCTCTCTTTGGATGCATGCAAATGTCGTCGTCATGAGTTTGGAATAGAAATGGACGTTTTTGTTATAAAATAACCAAATTTTTTATTACCATCTTGGATAATCACTCAAAGTACAGCTAAGCTAGCTGCAAATTGCGGATACAAAACAATTAATTTTGTCCTGCTATGAAGACTATCAACCACTAACCACAAAGTTTATCAACCATGCTTTGAAAATTGTGGATGGTCCAAAACTATCTCCAGGCAGCAAACGATGTGAACACAAAAAGCCTAACTCGCCAATTAGTTAATAAACAGAGGATAAAGGGTAGGAAGCTTCCACACAATTATATTTAATTCACTCAATAAAAAGAAGAAGGTGAGGGGAAATGAAAGGAGGATTAGGCTAATCAAAATTAAGGGAACATATAAGTGCAAAATCCTTGTCTACAAAATTACTATAACCTCTCATCCATATCTACTCATTTATTTGCATCTAACGCGCAAAAAGAAGTCCACTGATAGGGAAGGGATGGTATAAAGATGAGTGTATATAAGGCCAAAAACTAAAAGAAGGTTGGGCCAACCGAAGTTAGATACAATTATACAAACGATAGAGGAACTGAAACTGTACAATTGGCATCGTAGTTTTGGTTGTTTAGCGATCAATGGTGGCAAATAATAGGACAACATCGATCGACCAAATTTGGAGACGACGTTGAATTTCGGGGTAGGAGAGATGTCAATGCAATTCAGAGAGTACAGAATAACCAAATTTTTTATCACCATCTTGGATAATCACTCAATCAAAGTATAGCTAAGCTACCTCCCGATCGTTGTCTTCTAGTTTCTCGTCTTTGGATTTTCTTTCCTTTCCGATCAAATCTTTGTCTGTCGTCTCCAATTAGTAGGGGGAAAGAAGACTCGCGTCAATGGCAGTATTATTACATGGATAGATAAATGGGAAACTGAAGCTGGAATAACTAAGAAAGATAGTGGCGCCTAGCTGTTGAGAGCGTATGTTGTCTTTGTTAGGGATGGAGATTCGATTATCGGTTACCGGTTAACCGGCCGGTTAAACTGATAACCGGCGGTTACCGGTTAACCGATAACCAAAAATTATATGCTTCGGTCGGTGGTCGAAGCTCCTAATAGGTAATTCGGTTAACCGAGTAACCAAAAATCGGTTAACCGACAATAACTGAAAATAATCGACCGACCACCCCCCTCACCAAAACGACGTGAAAATACCCAGTTATGAAGTTTATAACTTTATGTTGTTGAATTTGAGACATTAATTTGGTGATTTAGATGTAGAAATGTAAGTTAGAACCTTTCATTTTAGGCAATTCTAATAATTTTACCTGGTTAAAACTGAACCAACATCATTTTTCGGTTATCTTGGTTAACCGACCAACTAACCGATAACCGACCGGTCGGTTATTGGTTAACCGAGGCATTGGCGTCGGTCGGTGTTGGTAGGGGGAGATGGTGGTTCGGTTAATCGGTAACCGACCAATCGGTTATCGATTATAACCGAACCGAACCGATTCCACCCCTAGTCTTTGTAGAGGAACCAAGAATTAAAAAAAATTCTTCGAGAACACGGTTTTGTTGGCTAACACTCCATTTCTCGTGTTTTATTTTCGTTTACCTATTTCATTTTTCCATTCCATAATTTGACAACAGGAGAAAGGATAAAAATTAATTTACTTTTCCTTATGTTTTATATTTGTTTTCGACTCTGTAAAAATTAAAGTGATAGCTTCCTACTATTTCCAAAGATGACAAAATGTTGTTTCTACGAGTTTCCAACATTTATTTCCTCATTTTTCAATGTAAAATTTCTTTTCCTTCTTATTGATGACGTGCAATGTTTGAATGACATTACTCACAATTATTTCTTTTAATACTTTTATTTTATTCCTCCAATTTTTCTTTTTTATCTAACTTTTCTATTTTCATTAGATATAGTTTTCAGCTTATAGACAATTTGAAATCAAATGAATCAATTCATTTCAATTCGAGTTATTGTCAAGCTTATGAACTTTTTTCATATTCGCCAAACCAAGTTGCTTAGGGATATATAATTCCTATGTCAATTCTCTAGTCAGGCCACATCAACCATTCTCGTTTTCGTTGAAGTTCTTCAATAAAACATCCAAGAGTTAAACAACCGGAATATCCTTTTGTTTAAGCAATAAAACGTGCGTAGATGGCATAAACTAGGTCGTGTGAATGATGATTTTTCCACTTCTCTTTTTATCTCTTCACTGTACAAATAGAGGCGCAACATCTATACGTTGAAAAAATTCTGGAAATTCTCAGTCATAGTTTTCTATTCTTATTTATTTTTTATGGACCGTTGGGAAGTCTATCTTCCTTCTATGAAGACCATCAACCACTAACCACAAAGTTTATCAACCTTACTTTGAAAATTGTGGATGGTCCAAAAATATCTTCAGACACCAAACGATGTGAACACAAAAACCTACCACACCAATTAGTCAAATAGAGGGTAAGAGATAGGAAGCTTCCACAAATTATATTTAATTTACTCAATAAAAGAAGAGGGTGAGTGGAAATGAAAGAAGAATTAGGCTAATTAAATTAAGCCAACATATAAGTACAAAATACTTGTCTACAAAATTATTATCATATCTCATCCATATTTACCCATTTAATTGTATCTAACGGCAAAAAAAAGAAGTTCACTGATAAGGAAGGGTATAAAGATGAGTGTATATAACGGCAAAAAAAAAAAAAATCGACCGATCGAAGTTAGATACAAACGGGAGAGGAGCTGAAGCAATACATATAGCAACGTGATTTTGGTTGTTTAGCGGTCAATGATGGCAAATAATAGGACAACATCGATCGACCAAAGTTGGAGATCAACCAAAGGTGATGTAAGCGGAATCCGAGAATCCGAACTCGCTCACGAATCAGAATACATAGTTTCCCTTCTTCTTCTTCTCTAACTTTTCTAACTTTTCTCTCTGCCTTCTCTCTTACTTCCTTCTTCTCTAGGCAGTCATGGGGGCTGCTGCCGGCGTCCATCCGACCTTAGCCCTCCGCCCCCCTTTTTCAGTTATTGTTGTCCATCCTTCCTTTCGTAGTATAGTCTTCCACTCTTCCTTCTCTTCTCTTTCGCATGTTCCAGCCTTTTGGTTTAGCTTCTTTTCGTCTGTGCATGTTCCTCCCCTTGTGGGTTTCCTTCCTCCCCCTTCGTGGGGTGATCTTTTGCCCTCTGATTTGATTTTTCGGATCTGGAGATGTGTGTGCTCTAAGATGCAAAGGAGGCTAGATCTTTTAGATCTGGCTCGTTTTCTCCTCATCCTTCCTCTGTCTACCTCCTTGCTTCACTTTGCAGGTGCTTGTGATTCGAAGACGCGGCCATTGGCTTGGACACGACTGGAGAGCTTGAAGACGGAAGTTTTTTTCTCTGTTACCACCGTCTGCCGTCCGATTACTCTGATGTATTCTCTTGTGAATGGTTGCCGAGATGCAGACGACGATTGGCTCGAGGAGGCTTGTGTAGAGGTTCTCCCTTCCTCATCCCTCCACTCGGGGAGGCTGGTTCCTCAGGATTTGGCTGGTGGTGGCGGCGGTCCTTTTCCAGCGACGGCGGCGGAGGTTCCAGAGGAGGGCATTGAACGACTAGGGTTAGAAGACTGAAGCTCTGGTTTTGGCCCATGGTCTGGGCTCTATTGAGTCTCTGGACTTTTGTTTGGGACTGTGTTTTTTGTCTTTTAGCCTGTTGTTGTTTAATTGTCTGTAAACTTTTCCACTGGGCTTGGCACATTTGCTCTTAATGAACTTAACATTATAAAAAAAAAACTCTCACTTTTTAGGGGTTTTCTGGGATTTCCTTAAGAACACAAAAATAAAAGGATAGGATGGAAAAGGATTGTTGTGCAACTTCAACACACGGGAAGAGCCTCGAACAATATCAGGGTAGATGCCCCGACCACGATCAAGGGGAATACTTGATCGATACAGACCTCAACGAGTTTGGAATCCACCAAACTCACATTCAAGAGTACACTCAAGAACAAAATGGTTTTTCTATTCCTCAACGTCTGCCTTCCCATAGGCAATTCCTCCTCTATTTATAGAGTTTACAAAACAATGTATCTACCTTTATTTAAATCTTTAAAATCATTTCCTATCAAATAAGGAATGCAAATACCAAAAGAGAAAGAAAATAAACTAATAATCCACCAAAAGGGAATGGAAATCAAGCAAGGATCCGCTCAAAAGGGAAAGGAAATAAAGCAAGAATCCGTCAAAAGCAATGACTTATTCTTCAAGTAATTCCTTTCTTCCTTCTGCTGCGTGGAATCACAATTGCCAAGGAAAGAATCATGCACACGTGAATTGAGCAGCTTGCTTTGCTTGAGCTGCTTCATCCATCTTAAATGCTCCTAGTTGATCCGTGTATCTCTGCACTCGAACCTTCCGTTTAGGGCCACGAAAATTGAATATTGTACTAATCAATATCACATCAAAAGGTATCACGATATAGTGTGATGATATGACATGATGATAGGACAATGTTTGCTGTGTATAACGAATATTTACTAACTAATTACTACTCAATTGTGAAAAACAACTGTGGTATTTATAGTAGTCATTTTAGTTCAATTCATTTTCATCAGGTGCATGCATGTTTCGTCTAAACCGTACATTAATTAAGCATATCATGCTACCGCAAAGAAAGTTACATAAAACCCTACTTAGCTATCAATTATTGACGGGAAACAAGGTATCAAAGTGGCTTCAGACTGTGTAAGTTGGATTAGGAAAACAAGGTTTCAACTAATAAAGAATCAACATCTAGAGATGGTTAAAGGGTGGATCATTTGTTGAGATGGTTAAAGGGTGGCCATCGTCAACTCAGACTCTGTGGCGTCAATAGTTTAAACGATGTATTCTAGTCTATTATCGGTAATTGTGGAAAGAACGTAATAAGCGCATTTTTATGGATCAGTATAGTTCATGGCAGATTGTTACCCGAAGATCATATTCCAGGTTTTTCACTGGGTATCTGGTGCTGGAGTGATTAATAGGCAACAGGTTGAAGATTGATTGACTTCTCTCCATAGAATATTTTATTTAATGCATCACGTTTGAATTTTTAACATCACCATTCTCAATGACGATACAATTTTCCTAATTTAAGTATGAGTTATTGTTTAGATCACCCGTACATACAACGGTAACAACTCATTTAACTCAACAACTTGTTCTCGAGAGATTACCTTGTAAATAATTCCATACTTGAGAGTAAATTGAATATGTATGTAGGGATGGCAGGCCCGGGCCCGTTAGCGGATACCCGCCCGAGGCCCGCCCGTTAAGGGCCCAAACGGGCTGGTCGCACAGGCCCGTCAACGGGTGGCGGGGAAACCGGGATCCGTCAACCCTGGTTTTCGGGTGGGGTTGGTTTGGTCACTATCCTCCCCGTAACCCGCCCGGTGGGTTACCCGTGCACCAAAACTACGCAGTTTCGCCCTCCATATATATATTCGTGTTCTGTGTTGAGAAACCCTAGCAGCCGCCCCTCATTCCTCATTTTGCAAATCGCAGACCAAAAACACCAAACCCTAGTTTCCTTCTTTCTCTCTGCCTCTTCTCTGGCGAATCGCAAGATAATCGCGATTTTTTGCCTTTTCTCCTCTCCAAATCCTCGAATCTCTCCTAGTTTCACTACGATCTATCTTCGATTCCTCCATTCGACCAATTGCATGGCTGGAAGAGCAACGATCCGACGCCGATTTCGTCGAGCACAGGCCAAAAATGAGTCATTTGGACTTCAAATCCCTGATTGTTCGTCGATAACAGATAAGTCAATTCTAGTTTTTTTCTTTTCTTTCGATTATCTTCGTTGTATCCTCAATCTACTGACTCTTCTTGACACTCGTACTGCTATATATAGGGGGATTTCAGAGGTCACCAGTCACCATCCTGACCTTCGTCCTTCGCTAAATTTCTACCCATAACTGAGAACACCCAGTCCACAGAGAGTAGAGACAGAGAGATTGCGACGAGCATCCAGAAAGAGTCCAAGTCTTTTTCTGGGTAAGGATCTTGAACTCGCTTCCTTTTTCTGGGTTTGTGCCTTTGTGGTGTACTGGTGTTAAAACAGACATGCATGCTTGTCTCCTATTCTTTTTTTTTTTTTGTTCGTTGTTCACTCTTTTTTGGCCAGGTTGGACTCATTTGAAGCTGTATTGAAGGACTGAACTCAGAGTCTCTGACGAGCAACTGAGCGAGTGATAGTGATCATCAGTGAGCAGTCTACTGTCATTGGGTACTCGACAGTCCTCAGAAAAACAGAAAGACAAGGTAATCTCGTTCTCCTAAGTCGTAACCAGTAGGCAGTAACCATTGTGTTTGTTGTGTTGCTTTGACTTGTTAATGATAATAAACTTTAATGGTAACCACTATGGCTTGCTAATGATAATAACTTAGTTAGAAGAAGTAAACTGTAATGGTAACCACTATGACTTGTTAATGATAATAAACTGTAATGGTAACCACTATGGCTTGCTAATGGTAACCACTAATCCACTATGGCTTGTAAATTGTTGAAAATGGTGTCCTGTTTGCTGGTTAGAAGAAAAAATGTTGTCTAGTTGAAAATGGTGTCCATTTAAGTAAGGAAAAATGTAAAATGAAAGGTCTAATGACTCTAATCAGTGATATATAACTTGATTATGTTCAGATGGAAGGTGCTACTGCTAATGCTATGAATGTTGATCAACATGTCCCTGAAAATGGTGTCCAAGTCCAACCTGAACAACCTCCTCCTGTTCCAAATAATCCGATTAATGGTAATGAGGAAGAACTTGAAGCACAACGTAAGTTAACCTCTAATGTGTGGCCTCACTTCCACAGAGTTAGGATTAATGGGGTAATGAAAGCTAGGTGTAAGTACTGTCGTAAACCCCTTGGTGGGGAAACAAGTAATGGAACTTCACACCTGAGAAACCATATCAAAACATGTATCCAGAAGAGGATACATGATGGTTCTCAAAAAATACTTGGCCCAACTATCAACCTGGTGGAAATCCTCAACTCTTTGCTTCTCAATACAATTATGAGGTTTCTAGGAAGGAACTTTGTTCTATGGTTCTGGTCCAGGAGTACCTCCTTAGCCTTGTTGATCATGTGGGTTTCAAACGTTTTTGCTGTTCTCTTCAACCTCAGTTTGCTGTCCCTAGTAGAAACACAGTGAAAAAGGATATTCTGGGTCTGTATGGGGTTGAGAGGTCTAAATATCAGACAATGATTGATGGAAATTTGGGCAGAATTTCAGTCACTACTGATTTGTGGACTGCCACAAATCAGAAAATGGGGTATATGGCAGTAACTGGTCATTTTATTGACAACTCTTGGAAGCTTCGTAACATAATGTTGAGGTTTATGTATGTTCCAACCCCTCACACTAGTCAAAGGCTAGCTGATAGGTTGTTTGATTCACTTCTTGATTGGAACATTGATGGTAAGTTGTCCTCAATCACACTGGACAACTGTACCACCAATGATTCAATGATATTCCATATGCGAAATAAGCTTGTGAGCAATGATCTCTTGCTTGATGGTAAACTGATTCATATGAGGTGTTCAGCTCATATTTTGAACTTGATTGTGAGGGATGGTTTGGATGCAATCAAAGATGCTATACATTTGATTAGGGAGAGTGTAGTTTACTGGAATTCTACACCTAAGAGGGTTCAAACCTTCTTTGAAGTTGTTAAGCAACTAAAGTTGACATTTGAGAAAAAACTGGTACTTGATTGTCCAACTAGATGGAATTCCACATACCATATGCTCTCTGTTGCTCTTCAATATAAGGATGTTTTCTTTCGTTTGAGCTTGAGGGACAGTCAATACACATCTGTTCCTTCTAGTTCACATTGGGAATTTGCATCTGTTGTGATTGATAAGCTGGAAATATTTTCTGAGATAACTCAGTTATTCTCTGGTTCCAAGTATCCTACTGCCAATCTTTTCTTCCCAAAGATTTGTGACTTGAGATTGAAACTGAATGAGTGGGGTCTTGACCCCAACCCTGTGATTTTTGGAATGGCCAGTCAAATGTCTGAGAAGTTTGATAAGTACTGGGATGATATCCATCTTGTACTTGCTGTTTCAGTTGTTTTGGATCCTAGATATAAGCTCCATGTGATTGAATACTATGCCGGGAAGTTTGGGAGTATGGAAACTGACTTGGTTGGTGATAATATCAAGAAGATTATTTGTGGTTTGATTCTTGATTATCAAACCAAAGCCGAGAAGAATTCTGGTTATGAAACTGGAACTTCTTCTGCTAGTTCTGGATCTGTCTCGGCTACTGAACTTGACTTTGAGCTCTTTGTAAGTCAAAGGAAAAAGAGCAAGAGTTCTTTGATTACTACTGAGTTGGATATGTATCTTGCCGAGGATATTATTCCTCGGACAGCAGACTTTGATCTGCTCTTATGGTGGAAACTTAATGGTCTCAAGTATCCCACCTTGCAAGCAATTGCAAGGGACTTTCTGGCAATCCCAATTACATCTGTTGCTTCTGAAAGTGCATTTAGTTCTGGTGGGAGGTTGTTAGACCCTCACCGAAGCAGGCTTCATTATTCCACTGTTGAATCAATGATGTGCACACGAAGTTGGATTATGGAAGACATGCAACGAGGTAACATGCAACTAAATCTCTAAATTCTAGTACAACTAATTTTGTTTAAGTGTAACTAATATTTGTATACACTTTTCTGCAGATTCGGAGGCTGCTGCTGTGGAGGCATTGGAGGGAGTCTTCTCAGCACTGTCAGTAGAAGAGGCAGAACCTGGGGGTAAGAAAATTAGTGCATTTCTAATTTTGTTCATTGAGATTTGAGGTTGAACTAATGTGTTTTGCTTTCTGGTTTTTAGGTCCAGAAATGGTGTTCCTGAGATCACCATTTGGCCATGAAGACTGAACCATTCTCTACTGTCCAGCCAGGTTAATTACTTTAAAACTTCTTCTCTTTTGTTGCAAGAACATGGAGTTTGTTGGTGTTACACTGTTACTGGTTAGGCTTAGGGAGTTAAGTCTTTTTACTTGAATGTTAGTGCAGAATTTCAATTGATGAATGATGACTGCCGCTACCTGCTATTGCGTAAGATGGCTAATGGCTTGATGGGTTATGGAAGGCTGCTGTTGGTGAATTTCAATTGATGTATTTCAATCGAAGGAAGGCTGCTGTTGGTGCAGAATTTCAAGTTGAAGCTTCATCTTGCTCGAAGGAAGGCTGCTGTTGGAATTGATCTCAATAGTTAGGATGGCTTATGGCTTTGTTTAGCTAATTAGCTTAGTTGTTCTTGCTTTGAATAAAACTCGGCAATCAGACTGTTGAGAATGGATTCTCTTTTGTTGATTTCAGTTTGGATGATTTGATACTTTGCTTGAATTTTGATTGTTGATCTCAACTTTCAAGTTTCGAATGTTACTGATGTCAGGTTCAGGGTTCAGTTTTTGAGATCTTTTATAAGTTTATTATTGATAATAAAAGGAGATGTCAGATTTTCAGGTTTTTTTTTTTTTAATGTACTTTGTCGTTTTGGTTGGCATTGTTACGGGCTTTTTAGACCCGTGCGCACCCGAAAACCCAGCGGTGACGGGGATGGGTATATTACTAGGCCCGGAAGCCCGTTTGGGTCGGGGACGGGTAAACCCGAAGCCCAATGTGGGCGCGGAACGGATACAGGGTACCCGGCCCCGATCTGCCCCCGTTGCTGCATGTATGTGAGTTTTTGTGCTGCAACGCCAGATTCGGGCTCACGCATAAGAGGCCCAGTATTGCAAGCCCAGGAGGTAACCGATTTCAAGAGTCAAGCCCACCAAAGAAGTATTGTCAACGCCAACTAAAGTTGCCGCGAAGAAGCTGGTCAATGTTCTTCGCGGCAACTTTTTGCTTCCCTTCTTCCATTCACACTTCTCGTCATCATCCCAGAGTCCAACCCAAGCAGCCGCACTATGATAAATGCGGAGCTAAATTCCTGATCCCAGTCCCGACATCATCTTCCTCAATCGAATTGGCTCCTCCAACTGTAGGTATGTCTCTCGATTCCCCTGTCTAGCGAATCAAAACTTTTTTCCCCTCTTTTTTTATTTGCGGCGGTCTCTCATATCAATCGCGATTGCTTACTTTGAATCATCGAACCATCCATGGACAGCAGGAAATGGAGTCCTCCGTCGCTGCTTCTTCTGCGCCGCCGCCGCCGCCGCCGCCGCCGCCGCAGTCTGTTGCTCTTCCTACCGGGAATTACGAGGTGTTCATCAGCTTCAGGGGTCCCGACGTTCGCAACAGGTTTGCCGATCATCTCTACACCTCCTTAGCGCGTGCCAAGATCCGCACTTTCAGGGACGAGGAAGAGCTCGAGAAGGGGGAAGAGATCGCGCCTTCCCTAGTCCGCGCCATCCCGGAATCGAAGATCTACATCCCGATTTTAACCGAGCGGTACGCTTCCAGCAAATGGTGCCTTCTGGAACTGGCTCAAATGGTGGAGTGCTGGAAGCAAAAGAAGGGACACCTCATCCTCCCCATTTTCTACTTTGTTGACCCCAGAGATGTGCGCCATCAGCAAGCCTTTGAACAGCACGCTCACAAACACAGCCCGGAAATTGTGAAGGAATGGAAGGAAGCACTTCGAGAGGTCGGACAAATGAAAGGATGGCACGTCACTGGATCCCTCGGGTAATTAGTAATTTGGATCTCTCTGTTACAAATTCTTTCCCCTACTTTGTTGCGTATCTTTACAAATCCTCTTTTGATGATATGCCCACAGCGAGGGCGCTATTGTAGACGAGATACTCTCTAAAGTTGAGTCGCATTTGAGGAGTATGTATACATTAGTGACCGACGAGTTGGTGGGGATCGACGCTCTCGTGGGAGAAGTGACGGCACTGCTGTTGAATTTAGGATCATCTAACGAGAAAGGCATCGTTGGCATTCACGGTATGGGCGGTCTAGGTAAAACTACTTTGTCTAAAGCTGTCTATAACAAGATATGCGCTCGATTTGATCGATGCTGTTATCTCGAAGACGTGCGAGAAACTCTAGCAAAGAGCGGCGGAGTTGTATCTATGCAGAATAAGGTTATATCTGCCATTTTGAAAGGCGATCATCATCAGGTTAAAAGTGTAAGCGAAGGAACTAACGTGATAAAAAACCGAGTTTGCAAGCATAAAATGCTACTCGTTATTGACGATATAGATGACAAGTTTGAATTTGATAAGATTCTAGGAAAATTAGGTGATTTTTCCTCCGATTGTAGATTTATATTTACAACTAGGAATAAGAGGGCTTTAGATTTTATTCCGGAATGTAAACTGTATGAACCGAGAGAAATGAGTCGTCGTCTTTCTCTGCAACTTTTTTGCAAGCATGCTTTTGGGATGGACAATCCACCCATGGAAGACGTTGGTATATCCGAGGAATTTGTAAAAGTTGCTGGGGGGCTTCCTTTAGCTCTAAAGGTGATAGGATCACTTTTGTTTCGCAGAGACAGGAAATTTTGGAAAGAAAAGTTGGTAGAATTACAAGGCTTGCCTTCTACTACCGAAAATATGGTGCAAGAGAGATTGAAGATTAGCTACAATGACTTGTCGCACAATGAAAAGCAAATCTTTCTTGACATTGCTTGTTTTTTTATCGGTAGCCACAAAGATTTACCTTACTACATGTGGAGTAGCTGTGATTTTTATCCAGAAAGTGGGATCAGCACCCTTATCCACAGATCTCTGATAAAACTTGACGAAGAAAACCAGTTTTGGATGCACGATCACATCAAAGATCTAGGGAGAGCCATTGTTAACGAGGAAGATATTCGACGTCCATACAATCGTAGCAGGATATGGTCTACCGATGAAGTTCTGACCATGTTGAGGAACAGAGAGGTAAAAAAAAATTCGTCAATGGTTTGGTGAACTTTCACACCGATATTATATGATATTTGTATATGCTCAAGTGCAATAACTATTTATTTTCATGTACGTTTTAAATAGGGAAGTGAACAGGTGGAAGTTGTCCTTATAGATGTGGAATCTAGAGATGATCATGACAAGCTGCTTAAAAGCAAAAAATTCGAGAAATTGTCAGGGTTGAGATATTTGGAGGTTCGATATGGACACATGAGGGGGGATTTCAGCCAGGTTCTTCCAAATTTACGTTGCCTTCGATTGTGTCACTGCGAATCTATCCCAACTGATATTAATGCGAAGAAATTGGCGGTACTTGATTTGGAGGGTTCCACTGTGAAGGGTGACTGGAAGGGCTGGAGTCGAATAAAGGTATAATCCATTTCTTTCTTTGTCTTTTACATCATAACATAACTGACATACAAAACTTCCATGGTTTATACACAACAAACTTTGGATCAGAACCTTACCACTTGCAGTAACTAACTAGCTATTTATTACAATCCACAGACTGCTGCAGCAAAGCTAAAAGCAGTAAATCTACCCCAATGCTGGAAGCTGACGAAATCTCCTGACTTGTCTACATGCACAAGCCTTGAGTTTATCAACTTTTCGGGTTGTTTCCAAATGAAAGGACAGATGCACATTGGTACATTCAAGAATCTGAAAACGCTGAGACTCGAAAACACCCGCACAACAGAGTTAGTCATCAAGGGCGATGACATTAAAAAGCTTCAACAGCTAGAGGAGATGGACGTGAGCGGGACCGATTTGAGAGAATTGCCTGTCGGGATGGAGAACTTGTCCTCTCTCAAAATCTTGTCGCTAGGTTTAGCAGATTGGGGGGTTAAATACCGGCTGGAGATACCCAGACTTCCGGGGAGTTTAAAGAGGTTGTCCATCTCGTTTTCATCGGGCGTCCCAAATCTGATAGAGCTCAAGCAGTTGGAATCCCTGAGTTACTCTAACGATCCATGTATCCCCGGAGACTTATGGCGGCTTCCCAATTTGAAGGAATTGACTCTGAAGCTCTGTCCTATCAAAGGTCCAATGCTGCAAAAGGACCAGAAGGCAACAACAACTTCTCTTGCTCCTGCTCTGCCGACATCTTTAACCAGCCTTCATGTAGTTGATTGCTGGGAATTGAATGAACTTCCCAGCCTAGCGAATTTGTGCAATCTGACCCGACTCGAACTCCGGGGTGTCAGGGTGGCCGAGATTCGGGGCCTGGGAGAGCTGAGGGCGATGGAGACTATGGTGATCAGATCCATGAGTCTGAACAGCCTCAATGGACTTGAGAATCTGCACCTCCTCACGACCCTGAGCTTGTGGTACGCCACGCTGGAGAGACTGCCGAGCCTGGAGGATTTGAGCAAGTTGAAGGATCTGGAGGTTTGCTACTGTCCGAATGTCGTTGAAATCCCCGGCATGGGCGGCCTCGAGGAGTGTTTATCCCGCCTGACAATCAAAAAATGTCCCAGCTTGGCAAACTTGGATGGACTACTTCAACTTCTGGGAGCATTGGAGGAATTGACTTTGTACGAACAATCGTTTGGCGGGAAACCATCTCTTGATCTCCCATGTCTCGTCAATCTGAAACGGCTGTACATCCGCTCTTGTCCAGAGTTGACGGAGGTTACAGGGTTGGGGAGGTTGGTGTCGTTAGAATGGCTAACTGTGGAGTGTTGCACTTCGATTCGACAGCTATCTGATCTGTCGGAGCTCAAGAATCTCAATGAATTGAACCTCAGTGACTGCCAAAGCTTGACTGATCTCATTGGGGTCGACAGATTGGAGTCATTACGGAAGCTACTGATGAATCGTTGTTGTTCAGTTAGGAAGCTGCCGAACTTATCGAGCCTCAAGAATTTGGAGACTTTGGACCTTGTGGGATGCATAGAGCTGACTGAGGTCGAGGGAATCGAGGGTTTGAAGTCGTTAATAGAGTTGAACCTGCTTAATTGCAGGTCGATAACGGAGTTGGGAAATCTGTCTGGTCTCAAGAAGTTGGAGATGCTTAATATCTTGGGCTGCACGAAACTGGTCGAGGTCAATGGACTTGATGAGCTGAAGGAGTTACGGTACCTAGAAATGGGGAAAAGGATGAGAGCGAGGTATTTGGCCAAATCGACTGCTAGATATGGCAAGGGACTAGCTGCACTGCTCGTGGATCGCTCTCCAACTTCTTGAGAGCAGACAGAGTTCCCAACTTCGTTATTGACCTGCAATCACACAGGTCCAGCTTCATTAACGACTCCAATCCCTTGACTCCCTTCACCATAGTAAGTTCTATGCATCCCTCAAGGTTCAACGTCTCCAAATTCTTCAGGTCGGATAAGTTGGGCAGCTTCCTAATGAGGGCAGCTGCATAATGGTGACCCTACTTGGAGGAATTGTAACCAATCCACGCATATATCTGTTGAAGGCGGCACTCGAGAGAAATCAATCACGCAGATAGGAGCAAGTGCAAAAGGAGAAAAAAGATGAGGAAGGGGAAGAAACCTGCTTCGAAAGTCTGATGATCTGTAAATGAAAAGTGAGTTCATCTACAACGTCAGTGAAAGAGTGGACCTGCAGGCCACCAGCATCATTTTCCTGCTGGGGAGATGCAATTGAGGCCATGAGTTGATCTTCACCAGGAGTACAGCAACATGAAACTGAGCTGGAAACAAACGAAATAACAAGAGTAAGATATTACGTCTTAAATGATTGAAACACCTCCACACCAGAACTTACTTTCACAACACTGAAAGTTGAAACAGATTCATGTCGACATGATGCCCATCTTCCTAGTTAGTTGCTAAACAAGAACACATACCGAATAATATCAGCAGCTGAGATTGTCCGAAAAAATTTCCATTGTTAATACTACTGGTACTTCGGGAGAGAGCATATGCAAAACTAGAGTACATCCACCTTGTACTTAAATCTAGCTCAACAAACAGCAAGACTTCTGTAAAACTCTGGTCACACGTTCCATACCTTAGAAGTTCGATAACCAGAATCAAAGCAACCTTCTAAATCCCTGAATAGAGAGGGTAAGACTCACAGCAAAAGCAAAATGCAAGCCATCAAATGAGCACGAATGTCCAGCTACAACGAAAGGCCAATCGAAATCAGAGCAACAAGTTCAGAACCAGTTAAGCCTAGCAGAGAAGCACCAATGTAACTCATGAAAACTAATCCTCGAGTTCTTCTCACAGGTTTGCACGGTTACAAACAGGCGAGATTCAAAAACTGTGAAAAGACAAATCGAAATGCCTACCACGAGAGCAGGAGGATGAATCAGGCACGGGAGCGGGAGGTTGATTGCTCTGCTGACCGACCTGTCTACGAGCAATAGCGAGCAGAGGGCGGCGAGGGGTTGTGACTGATTTGGGAGTTCGATTACGGCGGGGAGGCGGAGGAGAGCGCTAAGAGAGGAAGATTGCTGCGTTTGAGCGATTTGCACATCAGCCCCCTCAGGTTTTCCTCCTTAAGTCATTCCCTTTCACTATTTTGCCATTTCACTTTTTCCTTTTACGAGTTGGTCAGAATTATATTAAGGAATTAGGGTTAATATTTTCGTATGACCTAAACGTTGACTAAAATAAACATCATGACCAATCTTTTCGATCTATAACATCCTGGCCTGAACTATACACCAAAATAAACAATTTGGCCAAACCTGATGTTTGACCGTTAACTTGGACGGTCAAATGCGTTGACTAACAGTCAACGCGCCACGTCACTGCCAAGTCAGAAGATCTGATAAATATTTAATTTTTTCGTTTTTTATTTTTGGTTTAACTAAGGTATTAGATGATTTTTTTAATTTATAATAATTTAAAATTAGGGAATGTGTGGAAATTGTGAATTATTCTAAATATTTTATGCTGACTTGGCAGTGACATGGCACGTTGACTAACGATCAACGCGTTTGACCGTCCAAGTTAACTGTCAAAAGTCGATCTGGCCAAATTGTTTATTTTGGTGTATAGTTCGGGCCAGGATGTTATAGATCTAAAAGATTGGTCAGGATGTTTATTTTGGTCAAAGTTCAGGCCATACGAAAATATTAAACCTTATATTAACGAAAATGTTCATCCGACCCTCTCTTATATATTATATCTACTATCTAAGCCCTTGAAATCTTTTATTTTAATATGACAATGCTTCGTTTTCCGACATTTACTTATCGAGTTTATGTCATCAGAGTCGGGCGATTTGTTAGCCAAAATATCATATCATTATCCTAATTACACAACGGTAAATTGTCATTGATCATAGAACAAAGAACAGAGTTGAAGAGAGCGACGACGCAAATTCTTAAAAAGGGTAAACCGAGAAAATACGAGGATTATAAATTTTCTTATCACTCTAATGATAATTACCTTAGGACCTTTTAATGAGTAAAAATACCTAATGTAAGGGTACACAAGTTTTTCCATTTCACCAAATTTGTGAAGTAGGAATCCTTATTAAAAAATGAGTAGATGATTTATGAAGTTTTTTTTAATGGAGATGATTTATGAAGTTGTGACAAGTGAGTTTCATAAATACTTAAAATATAAGCAAACATACATGGATTTGTTTTCTATGTAAATGCACATTTCTTCTCCAATATAATAAAATTAAATGTAGATATCATCAATCAATTATCAACCATTAATCAATCAATCCAATATATTACACACTTTACCAAATCATACTTGACCATTTTAAGTTTTCTGAATTCTCATGCATCCACGTCAGCATTGATTTTCAACGTCACTCTTATTATTTCAGCTTGTTTTTTTTTTAACTCAACACTTATTATATATAAACAAAGATATAAATAATTATTACTAGGATTCAAACACGCAACTTGCAAGTCCCGTATTATTACAGTGTAAAATTTCCAACCAATAAAATAAACTTTATTTGATTTGATCATATTCATCGCAAAACTTACAAGATAAATTTCATTAATTATGTTGATTATCATAATATGATTGAGGCTATCATATCGCTGAGTGTGTTTAATACATTGCCTCCGATTTGTGATCTTTTGCAATTTATCAACCGAACCAATACATTATTATAAATGAATTATGATTTTAGATAATTGATAGTAGTATTTTTTTTGACGAATCTAGTTGTTTTAAGTTGGGATTGAACAATTACTTGTCCTCTGGTCACCATCAACACACAATGAATAAATTACTAGGCTTTGATGATAGCGCAGTTTGCAGCAGACGAAGTAGTCGTCCCAGCAGCAGTTGCTGTGTTATACCCAGGACGAATGCAGCAAAGCCTGTTCCCGAATCTAGCAGCAGCCGATTTCGCCAAACGCTTCACTCTCATAATTCTCTTCCTCCTCCTCATCCTCCTCCTCATCCTTCTCTCCATCCCTAGGTACCGTAACTCCTCCAACTCATCAAGTCCATTGACCTCGATTAGTTTAGTGCAGCACAAAATATCAAGCCTCCACAAATTCTTGAGACCAGACAGATTTCCCAACTCCGTAATTGACCTGCAATCATGCAAGTCCAGCTCCTTTAACGACTCCAGTCCCTCGACTCCCTCCAACCCAGTCAGCTTTATGCATCCCTTAAGTTCCAAACTCTCCAAATTCTTGAGGCCGGATAAGTTGGGCAGCCTCGTGATTGAAAGACACTTCTCCAGTCTTAGCTTCTGTAACGACTCCAACCTGTTGATCCCCGCAAGATCAATCAAGCTTCCGCAATCGTAGAGGGATAATTCCTTGAGATTGCTGAGCTCGGACAGACCAGGCAGCTGTCGGATCGAAGGGCAACGCGTCATACTCAGCAGTTCTAATGACACCAATCTCTCCAACCCTTTAACCTCCGTCAACTCTTGACACCAGCGGATGTTCAACCGTTTCAGATTGACGAGACCGGGGAGATCAAGAAATGGTTCCTGACCAAACAATTGGTTGAAGAACGTCAATTCTTCCAATGCTCCCAGAAGTTGAAGTCCATCCATGCTTTCCAAGCGGGGACATTCCTCGATTCTCATACGGGATAAAGACTCCCCGAGGCCGTCCATGCCTTGGATTTCGACGAGATTCCGGCAGTAGCTAACATCCAGATCCTTCAACTTGCTCAAATTCGCCAGACTCGGAAGCCTCTCCAGATTGACGGAAGTCAAGGTCAGGGTCTTGAGCAGGAGCAGATTCTCAAGTCCGTTGAGGCTGTTCAGATTCCAGCAATAGCTTATCACCATAGTCTCCAGCGCCCTCAGCTCTCCCAGGCCGCGAATCTCAGCCACCTGGACACCTGAGAGTCTGAGCAGGGTAAGATTGCACAAATTCGCTAGACTCGGCAGCCTCTCCAGATTGACGGACCTCAAGGTCAGGCTCTTGAGCAGGAGCAGATTCTCAAGTCCGTTGAGGCTGTTCAGATTCGAGCAATCGCTTATCACCATATTCTCCAGCGCCCTCAGCTCTCCCAGGCCGCGAATCTCGGCCACCTGGACACGTGAGACTCTGAGCTGGGTCAGATTGCACAAATTCTCTAGGCTGGGGAGTTCATTCAAATCTGAGCAACCAACGACTTTAAGGCTGGTTATAGATGCCTGAGCAGCAGTAGCAGCAAGGGAAGTTGCCCCCTCGTCCTGGTCCTGCCGCAGCAGTGGACCATAGTTAGGGCAGCTAAACATGCGGCCCTTCAGATTCAATTCCTTCAAATTGGGAAGCCGCCAAAAGTCGTCGAGGAACCAATAGCCCTGATCGCAGATAAGGAATTCCAACTCCTTGAGCTCTAGCAGATTTGGGACCCCAAATGATGGACACAAAATGGATAACATCTTTAAGCTCCTCGGAAGCCTGGGTATCTCCATCCAGATCCAGTAGTTTGTCGCCTGCCACAAAGTCGATCCTAACGACAAGATTTTGAGAGAGGACAAGTTTTCCATCCCGGCAGGCAATTCTGTCAAACCGGTCTTACTCACGTCCATCACCTCCAGTCGTTGAAGGTTTCCAATGTCACCGCCACTAATGACTAACTCCGTTATGGCGGTTTCGTGGAGTATCAGCTTTTTCAGATTCTTGAATTTGCCAATGTGTATCTGTCCTTCCATTTTGTGACACCACGTAAAGTTGATAAACTCAAGGCTTGTGCATCTGGACATGTCAGGAGATTTTGTCAGCATCGAGCACCCGACTAGATTTAATGCTTTCAGCTTTGTTGCCGCCTGTGGATTGTGATAAATAGTTAGTTATACGCTATAACATTCTCTATACGTCACAGAATTGTTATATGTCATATATGAAATCCTGAGAATGACAAGAGAGAAATGAATTACCTTTACTCCGCTCCAACCCTTCCAGTTATCCTTCACAATGCAATAATACAAATCAAGTACCGCCAATTTCTTCACGTTAATATTAGTTGGGATAGATGCACAATGATGCAATTGAAGGAAACATATATTTGGAAGGACCTGACTGAAATCCCCCATCATCTGCCCATATCGCACATCCAAATATCTTAAACCTGATAGTTTCTCAAAATTCTGGCTTTCAAGCATCTCGTTATGGTTGGCATGTATTTGAATAGCTTCCAACCGTTCACTTCCCTGTGCACAAAAAGAAACTAGTTAGTACACTTGAGCATACATAAATATCACCTAATACAAAGGAAGAAGTCACCGAACTATTTGACAGAATATTTGCCTGTCTATTCCTTAACATGTCGAGGGCATCGTCAGTAGACCATATCCTACTGCGGTTGTATGGATGTCGAACATCTTCCTCTTTAACAATGGCTCTCCCAAGATCTTTGATGTGATCGTGCATCCAAAATCGGTTGTTTTCCTCGAGTTTCATCAAAGATCTATGAATAAGAGTGTCGATTCCACTTTCTGGATAAAAATCGCACCCACTCCACATGTAGTAAGGTAAATCTTTCTCTTCACCAATAAAAAAACATGCGATGTCAAGAAAGATTTGTTTTTCATTGTGCGACAAGTCATTGTAGCTAATCTTCAATCTCTCTTGCAACACATTTTCAGTAGTAGAAGCAATGCCTCTATATTCTTTCAACTTTTCTTCCCAAAATTCCCTCCCTCTATGAAACAAAAGTGACCCTATCACCTTGAGAGCTAAAGGAAGTCCAGCAGCAACTTCCACAAATTCGTCACATATTTCCGCATCTTCCTCTGGAGGATTGTTTATCCCAAAAGCATGTTTGCAAAAAAGTTGCAAGGAAAGATGTCGACTCATTTCTTTCGGTTCATAGAACTTGCATTCTGGAATAAAATCCAAAGCCCTCTTATACCTTGTCGTAAATATAAATCGACTTCCTGCGGAAAAATCACTTAATTTTCCTAGAATCTTATCGAACTCAAACTTGTCGTCTATATCATCAAGGACAAGAAGCAATTTGTGCTTGGAAACCCTCTCTTTTATCATGTTTATTCCTTCACTAGCACTTTTAACCTGATGACCAGCTTTCAAAATGGTAGAGATAATCCTATTCATTAGAGATACAACTCCGTTGCTCTTTGCTAGAGCTTCTCGTACATCCTCGAGATAACAACAACGATCAAATTTAGAACATATCGTGTTATAGACGGCTTTGGAAAGTGTAGTTTTACCTAGACCACCCATACCATGAATGCCAATGGTAACTTTCTCGTCGGAAGACCCTAAATCCAATAACTCCATCACTTCCTCCACGGGAGTATCGATCCCCACTAACTCGTCGGTCACCAATGTGTACATACTCATCAAATGTGATTCAACTTTAGAAAGGACCTCGTCTACAATAGTGCCCTCACTGTGGTATCAACAAAGGATTTGTCAAAATACACTCAAGAGTAAGCAAGAAAATAGAGTGAAGTAGTCACCAGAGTTTGTACTCAAGAGAGATCTAACTAGCAAGCAAGAAATGCAGTGAAGTAATCAAAAGAGAAATCTAACTAGTTATTACCTGCAAGATTCTGTAACATGCCATCCCTTCATTTGCCCGACCTCTCGAAGTGCTTCCTTCCATTCCTTCACAATTTCCGGGCTATGTTTGTGGGTGTGCTGTTCAAACGCTTGCTGGTAAGAACCCTGTTGATGTCGCACATCTCTTGGGTTAACAAAGTAGAAGATGGGGAGGATGATGTGTCCCTTCCCCTGCTTCCAGCACTCCACCATTTGAGCCAGTTCTAGAAGGCACCATTTGCTGGAAGCATACTGCTCGCTTAAAATCGGGATGTAGATCTTCGAATCCGGGATGGCAAGGACTAGGGAAGGCGCGATCCCTTCCCCCTTCTGAAGCTCTTCCTCGTCCCTGAACGTGCGGATCTTGGCACGTTTTAAGGAGGTGTAGAGATGACTGGCAAACTTGTTGCGAACATCGGGACCCCTGAAGCTCATAAAAACCTCATAATCCCCTGCGGGAAGAGCAACAGACTGCGGCAGCGCAGAGGAAGAAGAAGCGGCAGCGGAGGATTCCATTTCTCGCTGCATCGATGATTCAAAGAAAGCAATCACGATTGATTCGAAAGACAGCTACAAAGGAAAGGTTTGATTCGCTCTAGACGATGACATACGAAACGAAAAAAGGTTTGAATGTTCCGGGGACAGGGGGATGGACAGACGCACCCGCAGTTGGAGGAGCCAATTCTCTTGAGGAAGATGATGCAGGGATCAGGTGCTTGGTTAGCTAGCTTCACTCGGCTTTTCAAGAGTTTGAATGATGACAAGAAGCGAATGAAGGAAGGGCGCAAGAAGCTGCTGCGAAGAACTCTGACTAGTTGCTAGCTAGCGCGGGAGAGCAAATGAATGGTGAATTATGCAGTTTCATAGAAAATGGGTCTCTATGTTTTGTGGTCATGATTGTCTTATCTCCATTCTTTCGTTTCATCGAAGACTTTTAGTTGCCGTTGCCGGCTTGCCGTTGACGTTGACGTTGACGCTGCCGACACATTTACTGGGCTTGACTCTTGATATCGATTTTCTCTGGACTGGACTATGCTTACGGTATTCTGGGCCTCTTTATGTTTTAGCCCAAATCATTAGTTATAAAACAGAGCAAGGACCAACCCATTACCCTAACATGTGGCAACCGTGATCGATTTGCTTCAACAACTAACAAAACACACAAGACTATTCAACACCCGCGGGTCGACCCACTTTGATCCTGACTCAGTGAGAAAAGCGGGTCGCATGCACTCGTCGGGTCGACCGCTACAAGATACCGGATTGAAAGTCAAATCGTGTCATTTATTTTTCTTGGGTTTGCGAAATGCGCCTATATTCCGATTTTTCTTTTCGCCTAACTCAATCTTTTTAATACTAAGTTGAACATTTGAATATTGATGTTATATAAGTGTGTGTGAATTTTCATCATATGTTGGATCTAAGTACGACAAGTTATTTTTGTGTAATCCTGTATGTTATTACTAATATGTTAGATGAGATTTGATATAATTTATCAAGATAAGTACAATATAATGACTCTTTCCATATTTCTGGGCTAAATCGGGCTAAAAAGGATGACCCATTAACCCTTGAGCCACTAGCTCGACCAGGTTCGGATAAGCTCGCAGAAACACAAAGTCACAAACTGGACTCAAGTGTCACACAAAGCAAAATTCAGTGATCAAACATAACTAAACCAAACGAAACAGTTTGCAACTTGAAAGTATTTTAGACCCTGCATATCTTGGTGACAATTCTTCAAGCATCCTGGTTCCAGTCCTCGCGCCAACACATGACACATCCATCTAGATATGACTTATTGACTTGTGAGTTTCAAAAGAGAACTACTACACAAAATTAGTCAATTCTTTCTAGAAAAATAAATCGAGAAACACCTTCAAAAACGAAAAGCGAACATGTCGTCGCTGATCATTACAATGCCAATATATCAGGGGCGGAGCCAGGATTTGGCGGTCGGGGGGTCGGATTTCTTACTCTATAATCGCGAGAACACGTTAAAATTAATTAAAATAATCAAGGAAGGCAGATTTGTTATATTATTATAACTATACTTTTTTAAGATGGTTAAAATAACTCCAAATAAGATCTAAAGTTCAAATTTCTAACATGATAGGTCCAATATATATTAAAATAAAAAAATCAATTAAAATGTAATTCAATGTAGTGTAAGTGTGCAACACATTTCACTTTCATTCAAAACAAGATCTACACTAATACCATGACATGTTTAATATAAAATTAGAAACAAACTAACAAATTAATAATGCATTTCAAGTCAATATTACGTTACTCATTCTAATTTCATAATTTAAAAATAAATACCTAAGAACTCGGTTTAATATCACAAATTACAGACATTTTTAAAAACAAACTATTTAATAGGGTATTTAATTAAAATTTCATAATTTAAAAATAAATACCTAAGGCCCTGTTCACTTTCATTTTCGTTTTCTGTTTTCTGTTTTCTGTTTTCATGTCATAAATTTGGCAATCCAAACGAGAAAACTTATTTACTTTTCATTCTGTTTTCTATTCGTTTCCAACTATGAAAACAGAAAGTGGCAACTTCCTCTTGTTTTCGGAAACGACAAAATGTTGTTTTCACATGTTTTCAACATCTGTTTTCTCAAAAACAGGAAACAGAAATGAAAGTAAACAGGCCCTAAGAACTCGGTTTAATATCACAAATTACAGACATTTTTCTACAGACATTCTTAAAAACAAACTATTTAATATGGTATTTAATTAAAAGGCTAAAATGTGCTAAGAGTAGGTTTCAAAACCAAGATCTAGAAAGAATAAGCAAGCACAGCATCCGCTGGACTACCAAGTATTATTGTGTTATTTAGGTGCATTGTGACGTATATAATGGTTCTTAAGTTTATACAAAAATCTCAAAATGCTCAGAATGTTTACACGTAGCTTTCGAAATTCTGGGGGGGGGGGGGGGGGGGCGAGAGCCTACCTAGCTCCGCCCCTGCCAATATATACATGTCATTAGATAGTTTCATCCGATGATAATATGTTCGAGCTATTGAGAAAAAATTAATGATATATCTTATACTACCCTCTGCTCACGTAACTACCACACATGAACAAAATTCTTGGCACGATTCTTCGAATTCCAACATTTCAGAGAAAGTTTCTGTCTTTTTACACATTGTAAGGATCGGATTATTCCAAAATAGTATTTCGTGTATTGGCATCAAGCTGAACACCGAGCTCCAAGCATTACCAGCACTCTGCCAACAAGAAAACCTTAATTTGAAGGCTAATCGAAAGTGAACATATACATGCAGCTAATTGTCGACGACCACGATAGATTGATGTCAGTTTGTAGTTTGTACTAACGATAAATCTTGCCTATGATTTATTTATGAATTCCTTTGAATTTTTTTTTTCTTTTTTGCACAATTCCCCCCCCCCCCCAAAATTCATAAAAACTATAAGCAGGCCTGTACAAAGTGGTCTTTGCGCTCCAGCCCAGCGAAGCTCTTTGCATTCATTGCTGGGCTTGTTTAGTAGGGCCGAGTGTGAAGATCATCTCCTGATCCTGCTCAGGTAATCGAAGAAGCAGGATCAAGTTCTCCTGCAACTTGGAAGCTGCTGCACCTGGAGAACAGAATGCTGAAGAACAACGAAGGACCCAAGTGCAACGATTCACAAGTTGTGGAGACCTTTTTGTAATTACTCCGTTGTACAGCTATAGAATACGTAGTCGTTTTATTAAGCTTCATTCGTTATTGTTTAAACAGTGGTCTTTGCCACTTGTCATCTCATGACTGGTGGTTTTGTAAAGAGGTTATTTTTAACCGTTGTATATATGCAAGGACCACTGAGTCCCAGAGAGGTATTGAGCCTTCTCTTGAATAACCCTTTCTCAACCTTATCTCCTCCTTCTCTGCTCGTCTTCCTCTTCCACAAAACCCTACAAACCCTAAACCCATTCAGGAATTTCACATGGTATCAGAGCCTGGTTGCTCTTGATCAACCATTTCCCTTCTTCAAGACTTCTCTTACATATCCCTTTCAAGTTTCTGTTTCACTTGATTCATAATGAGTACCTCAGCTACTGCATCAGATTCCACCAGTGGAACAATGGTAACCCAGGAAATCAAGTTTGAAGATCCTTACATGAATCCCTACTACATGTCCACTGGAGACAGTGCATTCACGTCCATCCTCTCCTTCAAGCTCACAGATGATAACTATCTTGTGTGGAGCGAATCCATGGAAGAAGCTCTCAGAACCAAAAACAAGATGGTCTTCATCGACGGGACACTGCCACTTCCAGATGGTAACAACCCTTTACATTCTACTTGGATGAGAGTTAATGGAACCATTCTCTGCTGGATTAGAAGTTCTGTTTCTGATGATATCAGACCTAGCCTTATGAAAATTAAAACTGCGAGTGAGGCATGGAGGTACTTGAAATCGAAGTTTGGTCAAGGAGATTCCATTAGAATAGCTGATTTGAAAGGTCGTTTGGCAACTTGCACCCAGGGTAATCAATCTGTGAGACAGTTCTTTACAGATCTGAAAGTTTTGTGGGATGAACTCGACTCATATCAACCCATTCCTGTGTGTGATTGCCCTTCCAAGACCTATGAAACAGTATGTATGTACAAGGAAAATGGAAGAGTCATTAAGTTCTTGCAGGGGTTATCTCCTAGTTACCAGATGGTCAAGACTCAAATGCTGTTGATTGAACCTTTGCCTAACCTTGACTCGGTTTATAAGTCTGTTATTCAGCTGGAAAGGCAGATGAAAGGTAATGGTTTGGTTGGAAGCAAGCCTGCAGATTCCATTGCTCTTGCAGCAGGATCCAACCAATCTCAAAGACAGTACCCTAGGCCACAATCAACTCCTCAGGCAGATCCAAATCAAGAACTCTTTTGTGTTTACTGCAAGAAGAACAATCATGTGATTAAAGATTGTTATAAGCTGAAGATGAAGAAAGCTAGAGAGAAAATGCAGGAAGACAACTCAAGATTTGCTGGATCTGTTGATACTGGAGAGCAGCTTTCTCAAACTCCTTCACAAGGAGGACAAAACAACATCAATGACCCTCAGTCCATTCTTGCAAGGTTGTCTACAGCCATGGAAGATTTCAGTAAGCTGAAAGCAATGATGCAGCAGCAATCATCTCCTTCACCACCACTTTCACCCACTGTTCCTGCTGCACATTCAGTCACTCTCAATCGACCATCCACCTCTATGGCAGGTACATTTGCTCTATCAACAAGAATGACTGGGATTAAACATGTTTGGGTCCTAGATACAGGTGCTAGTGACCATATCATTTGCTCTGTGAATTATTACCTTAAGTACAAGCCAGTAGAAGGAATCACTGTCACACTTCCTAATGGAGAGCAAGTCCCTGTTACACACATAGGGATAGTTAGGTTATCATGTGGTTTGCTGTTAACCAATGTCCTTTGTGTTCCTTCCTTTGCTTACAACCTTGTTTCTGTAAGCAAATTAACCAATGATTCTCCAGTTTCACTCATTTTTCGTTCTGATTTTTGTGTCATTCAGGACCTCATTTCTCAACTGAGGATTGGTTTGGTCCAAGTAAATAGGGGGCTCTACCTTTTTGATCAATCCCAGACATCAAGACCTTTCACATCTTCCTCACCACAAGTTTTTAACCTTTGGCACAGTAGACTTGGACATCCTTCACTCCCCAAGCTACAAGAAATACAAAAACAGCATAAGGAAGTAGATACCAGTACAGTTACACACTGTGAAGTCTGCCATTTAGCTAAACAGAAAAGGCTCCCTTTTGTTAGGAGCAGTTCCATTAGTAAAGAACCTTTTGATATGATACACACAGACATTTGGGGCCCTGTTGATACCCCTTCTCTAGATGGTTTTGTCTATTTCCTCACTATTGTTGATGATTGTAGTAGATCTGTTTGGATTTATCTCATGAGAAGTAAATCAGAAGCAGGAACTCTTTTACAATCTTTCCATGCTCTTGTTGCAACTCAGTTCAACAAACATATCAAAATTGTGAGGTCTGATCAGGGCCAGGAGTTCCATTTGAAAGATTTTTATCAGCAGAATGGGATCATCCATGAAATGAGCTGTGTAAGAACAGCACAACAGAATGGGCGAGTGGAAAGGAAGCATCAACACTTGTTGAATGTATCTAGGGCTTTGAGATTTCAGTCTGGCTTACCAGTTACCTTCTGGAGTTTCTTTGTGCTTCATGCTGCTTTTCTGATCAATAGACTTCCTTCCCCAGTCCTTTCAAACAAAACTCCATTCGAAGTTCTTTATGGTGTACCACCTGATTACTCAGACCTCAGGGTTTTTGGATGTTTAGCTTATGCTACATCAGTTTTGCCCCACAAACCCAAGCTGGCAGCAAGATCAATCAAGTGTATTTTTGTTGGCTATGAGTTTGGAGTTAAAGGCTATAGACTCTATGATCCAGAAGCTAATGAAGTTTTCACTTCTAGGGATGTTGTGTTTCATGAAACAGTTTTCCCCTACAAAAATGCCATTCTTGACAGCAGCCCTCCAGCAAACTCTAATCCAACTGAGACCAATTTTCCTTCTTCTTCACCTGTCCAAGACTCTTCTCCTCTAATTCCTTTCTATCCAGAACCTCAGGATCCCACTGATCCTGACTACATTCCTCAATCACCCTCTAGTTCATCTTCTGATGAATCCTCTACTTCTCCTTCTCCCACAGAACAAACTTCTCCTATACATTCTTCCACACCTATCCCATTTTCTTCTCCATTACCTCCCAACTCTCCTGTTCCTTCACCTATCCAATCTCAGGATGTTTCACCAGCACCCCTTGCTCTACGTAAATCAGATAGAGTACACAAACAGCCTGCATATCTTCAAATGTATCACTTAGGCTTGGCTACCAAGACTCCTATTCCCTTACCTAATATCCCTTTTCCCATTTCCAACTATCTATCCTACCAATTTCTTCCTCCTAATTACAGATCCTTCTGTCTTAACATCTCCTCTTGCATTGATCCACAATCATATGAAGAGGCCATGAAAGAAGGTTACTGGGAACTTGCTGTGAATGATGAACTTGCAGCCCTGGATCGAAACCAGAC